TCACATTGTGGCCCAACTAAAAAAAGTTTCACATTGTGGCCCAACTAAAAAAAGTTTCACATTGTGGCCCAACTAAAAGCGCTTCACGTTCGTGGAAAAAAAAAAACACTATTGGTTCTTGCTAAAACCTCTGGACTAGCTCCTTTTCTTAGACAAAAATTGTGGATTTTTCGAAGGAACCGCCATTATTCCTGACTCAGTTTTTGCATCTCTGTTTGTCTGTTCGTTCTTGTCAGGAGATGGAATTGGACCCGGAAGATGTTTTCAGAGATGAAGACGAAGACCCAGAAAGCGATTTCTTTCAGGTTTGACCTGGTTTTCTTATGGGAGTTTTAGATAAAGCAAAAAATGAAACCCTAATTGATATTGGTTATTGAGTGTTTTTGTCTGTTTGTTTGGCAGGAAAAAGAGGCTTCCAAAGAATTTGTAGTCTATCTCATTGACGCTTCTCCCAAAATGTTCAGCTCTACTTGCCCCTCTGTGAGTATAAACATATAGAAGAAAATAACGAAGTCAAATTTTATGGTTGATTATTTGAATTATTTTTTTGTAGAGCTGAACAAACTTTCCAAAAATGTTTGATGGCTGATGCGAAGTTTTATAATTGGTACTTACTTTGTATCATAATGATGTTTGACAGGAAGATGACAAACAAGAAAGTCATTTTCACATTGCTGTTAGTTGCATTGCTCAGTCACTCAAGGCTCATATTATCAATCGGTCAAATGATGAAATAGCAATATGCTTCTTTAACACTGTAAGTTTCTGGATGAAACGTGTCGTAGTGTTTGCTTCTCGTTTTTTTTTTTTTTGGTTCTTTACTTATTTGTTTTCTTCAATTTTGTTGTCACTTGCAGCGTGAAAAGAAGAATCTTCAGGATCTAAATGGTGTTTACGTCTTTAATGTTCCAGAAAGAGAGGGTATTGACCGTCCAACAGCGAGGCTGATCAAAGACTTCGATGTCATAGAAGGTAGGTGCCAGATTACTCTCTCTAGAACACTAGTCATTGTTAATTTAGAGTTTCGAATCCAATCTTTGCAATCACTCTAGTAAGAAAATGAATAACATGTTAGGAATTACAATATAGAATGTTTGAGCAAGCTTTTAGCGCCTCAAAATCTCAATGGTAGATCTCAGACTAATTCAAAGATTGAGTAGTGTGCTGAAAGAGATTTATTTACTTTGTTGTTTGGTCGTTTATCGATGTGTTCTGTGATCTAAGGGGAAATGTAAATTGTACATTTTTGGGTGCAGAATCATTTATAAAAGACATTGGCAGTCAAAATGGTATAGTCTCAGATTCTCGGGAGAATTCTCTTTATAGTGCTCTCTGGGTTGCACAAGCACTACTGCGCAAAGGGTAACGTTCAAATTATTTTTATTGATCTGGTGCCAAGTTTGTGATTTGCAAAACAATTTGGTCTGTAATCTGATCACTGTGTTGGTAATATTCTGTAACAAAAACTTATCCAGATCTACAAAGACAGCAGATAAGCGCATATTTCTATTCACTAATGAAGATGATCCTTTTGGGAGTATGAGAATTTCTGTAAAGGAGGATATGACGAGGACAACATTGCAGAGAGCTAAGGTACTTTACTTCCAACCCTTAAGATATGAATTACAATGAAAGCAATCCAAAAGAGCGTCTTGTTAATCAAATTCTAGAAGGCTAGTGGGTTACCTTTTCCTGTTTTTTTGGTGATTCCTCAAGGATGCACAAGACCTTGGCATCTCAATCGAGCTTCTTCCCCTCAGTCACCCTGATAAGCAATTTAATATAACTCTCTTCTACAAGGTAATCTTCAACCATCTACTTCTTCAGTTGACCTCATAAACCTGAGGGCCTTATATAAATTAAAGACTAGATATGTGTTTACATGAATTTTTGTGTTAACGTATCTCCAGGATTTGATTGGATTAAACAGTGATGAACTTACGGAGTTCATGCCATCAGTTGGACAGAAGTATGTTTTTTCATTCTTTATTGCCTGTTGAAATTCCTAATATCTCTGTGTCGTTTTGTTGCTCATAGCATCTTAGTACTTACTACACTTAGACAGAAGCAGGCTTTTTTAGAAGTTTCAAGTCTTCAAAAAAACCACTTTGTTTTTATCTCTTTATCTTGAGTTCAGCTTCATAGGGGTTCCCGCCATTATTTGTATCATTTTGCTGAAATGTATCTATTGTCAGATTAGAGGACATGAAGGATCAACTGAAGAAGCGTGTACTTGCCAAGAGAATAGCAAAAAGAATTACGTTTGTTTTATGTGATGGTCTGTCTATCGAATTGAATGGTTATGCTTTACTCCGTCCGGCTAGTCCTGGAACCATAACCTGGCTTGACTCTACGACTAATCTTCCAGTGAAGGTAATTTGACAGATATGCTCCAATTGAATTAAGAATATGTGCCTTTACTCGTTTTCCATCACAAGTGAACACCTTTGTCTTTGGATCAAACCTGTCCACGTTTTGTATTACCATCAATCAAGAACTTTCCTTGACATTAATGTTTGGTATCTATTAGATCTATTTTCCTAGATGTATTTTCTGGGTTATTGACACCATGTGCGGTCTTGTCTGCAGGTGGAAAGATCATATATATGTACGGACACTGGAGCGATAATGCAAGAACCTATACAACGGATTCAGCCTTACATAAAGTAAGCCTCTGAATAACACCCTAATTATTTTCTGGTTTCCTATAACCAAAAGAGTCATGGTGGTTTCCTGTTAGATATGTCTATATTTTCAATATTATTACAAAAGTAGATACCAGTGAAGAGATTAAGAGAGAAAAAGAAAACCAAAGCCTCATAAATTTGAATCTCTTTCTTGGCACTCATGAAGATTAAATATCACTCGAATAACTGAAATCTTTTTTTGTGCCCCCTCTCTTTCTTGTCCAGTAGGAGTTGCGTTTAATTTTTTCATTCTCCTTTCTAGTCAGAATATCATGTTTACAGCGGCGGAGATATCCCAGCTAAAAAAGATATCAACTGGACACTTAAGACTGCTGGGGTTCAAGCCACTTAGTTGCCTCAAAGATTATCACAATATGAAGCCTTCTACATTTCTCTATCCAAGTGATAAGGTTACCCGCTTATCAAAGATTTCACCTTTTTTTTTAATTGCACTCATTTCTCTCCCCTCGAAATGGTGTTTAATCAGTAGGGAGCTTGTAATATCAACCAAACTTTGTCATATTTAGTCATAGAGACTTATCTCTTATTTTGCTGAGAAAGTTTTGAAGAAAGTGACTTGAATGGCATGTGTTTTCCACATTGATCTCTTAACTTAACTTTTGGTAATCTAACTGATGCAGGAAGTTATTGGGAGCACTCGTGCATTCATTGCCTTGCATAGATCCATGATACAGCTTGGACGGTGAGCACATTAGATATATAATTCGATGAGTTGATGTTGAATATAACTTCTGCATTTTTGACAGTATAAACTCCAGCACTTTCTCCGATATACTAACACTAAATGTATCCTCTTGTGTTGCAGTTTTGCTGTTGCATTTTATGGTGGCACGACACCTCCGAGATTGGTTGCGCTCATTGCTCAGGTGAGAAAACTACTACGTCTCTTCCACATAACTATATTTCATCTTGATATTTAGCTTTATTACCTTTTTAATTTGTGCTTTGTTCAACAACTTACTCAAATATCTTTTCTTGAGTCCGAACAGGATGAAATCGAGAGTGATGGTGGTCAAGTGGAGCCACCAGGGATGAACATGATATATCTTCCATATGCTAATGATATTAGAGATATCGAAGAGGCAAGAACAAGGCAAAGCTTATGAAAAATTACTTGGTACAAGATTATTCATGTATCGTTAAAATTTTGACTAGTTGGTGGATATTTGGCAGTTGCATTCAAAACCTGGTGTAGCTGCTCCTCGAGCATCAGATGATCAGCTTAAAAAGGCATCAGCGTTAATGCGACGTCTAGAGTTAAAAGACTTTTCTGTTTGCCAATTTGCTAATCCAGGTATGTTAGATCTTGATTCTATTAGTCTCTGAGTTGTTGATTTTGAAAACCATTCATATGTAGAAATTGAAATCTCTCCTTGTTACAGCCTTACAGAGACACTATGCGATCTTGCAAGCCATTGCACTGGATGAAGACGAGCTTCTCGAAACTAGAGACGAGACGCTTCCTGACGAAGAAGGAATGAATAGGTTGCAACCACTTTTACACTGTTTTATAATTCTGTACATAAGCCAAAATAATAGTAAAAATTGTTGGGATCTTATCTAGTGAGTCCTCTTTCTTGCAGACCTGGAGTTGTAAAAGCAATAGAAGAATTCAAGCGGTCGATTTACGGTGATGACTCTGATGAAGAAAGTGACTCAGGGGCAAAGGAGAAATCAAGAAAGCGAAAAGCCGGTGTTGCAGATGCAGGAAACTCTGACTTTATTGAGCTTGCTAAAACCGGAAAGGTCTTTAAATCTCTGCTTAATAAATTATTTTTCATCGTTTTTTATATATCTCTACCTCAAAGAATGACGTTCATGTTTTGTTTTCTCTGTATAGCTCAAGGACTTGACGGTGGTGGAATTAAAGACATATTTGACTGCCAACAATCTTCCGCTTGGTGGGAAAAAAGACGTTCTGATCAATCGGATTCTGACTCATATTGGTAAATAAACTTAACCGTTAATTATAACTCCGGCTAGAGAAAGCACGTATCAGTTTCCGGTTTCAAAAGGCTTGTCAGTTTATGATGAGAACGGGACCTGTAACTTTCGGTTCGTTGTTCAACGTTTTGGCTCTGCTTTTGGATCTAAGTGTAATGGTGTCTCTTTTGGGATAACCACTAATTAGGTAAATCATGGAGTAGTTTATTATCGTATCTTTGTTTAAACTGTATGGTTTCTCTTCATTTCAGTGCAGAGCAACAAGGTACAAGTAAATTACAATTATTGTTTAAGATTAGTATTTTGGTATGAGTCTCATACTTATTATTGATCTAAGCTTCTTTATGGAAAAACTATAAAGAATTCTATAGACCTTTGTAATTTATATATCCGTTACACTCTTCACATACGTAGAGTCTCAGTCTCACACATCGACCAATCCATACCAGAAAAACATAACTACTGTAAGTTAACCACATGGTTCCTTAGAAAGCAAACATACGCAAACGAGCTTTCTCGTCTCTTCTCCTTCTTATCTTTGTAAATTTCTTTATTTGGTTCTGATCAAGTTTGAAGGATCCCTTAGGACGTATTTAGGCAACTCGTACTTGGAACCTGCAAAAAATAACAATCTCAGCTGCTAAACCAAAAAACCTTATAGAAGAATTATATTTCTTTTTCTATTTATTTTACCTTTCTCGTCGTAACAAATGGTGAGGTCAGTGTTCTGAACAATCACACCTGCACTCTCGATTATGGTTTGCGCAAGCGATAAATCCTCTTCTTCTGCTGCAGCTCGTAACGCATCCCAGATCTCTGTTTAAATATAGATATAAAAAGATTACAACTTTTTGGCTCTTTACTTAAATGGCTCGACCTTAACAATGAATGTTTCCTATTTTGAAATTTGATAGATGTGATCATCACCTTTCTTGCCTCCATAGTGAGGAGCTGTGTCCCAAAACTCCTCTCGCATCTGTGTGAGCTCAGCTCTTGATATCGGCTGAGGATGTTTCCATGACTTTGGTCTTCTAATCTTTTCCTTTCTCCCTTCAAAAACACAATCACACATCACAGAGATGCTCCTATTTTTTATATATATATATATATTTGTTGTGTTCTTAAACTCTAAAGTAGACTGACTTTCATTTAATCCGATTCGTATAATTTGCTAACCTCTAGAGAGAGAGAGAGAGAGAGAGAGAGTCAGAGAGAGTACCTTCTGTCATGGTTCTCGAACTAGAGCAACCCATTATTTGTCTTCCTTAGAATAACCAAAAACGAACATAACAAATCTGCAGAGGAGAGGATACAGGGCATAGACAGAGAGAGAGAGATTACACTTTAAAGATTTGTAGAGAAGTAGAAGAGAAAGAGAGATATTTTGTTTTTACAGATGAGAGACAATGCTTTTAGTTATCTCGTGAATCACAAGACAAGGTTACTCTGTTTCTTCTTTTCTTTTTTCTTTCCTTCCATAATGTTTGGTCTGTTCAGAGTGAGAAACTCGTGAGCCACAAAGGTATGGTAGTTTGGAATTTCATCATCTACCTAATTATGGTTAAAGATAAGATCATATACGTTCACTATACAATATTTTACAGAATATCATATAATATATATGTAACCTATGTAACAGCCGATATATAAAGCAAAAAATTTTAGAGAATGTTTGCTAAATAAACTTCTTATGAATCCAAAATACTGTTTTTTTTTCACGCACAACAGAAAAAAAAAAGTCGTGTTTTTTAGTTTATACCTCCTTATCTACATTATTGTTAGTTGTTGCGACCCTGAATAACAAAAAAAAAATAGAAGTGTTTTAATTTAAAGAAAAGAAAAAATATCTACTCAGAATTTGATAATTTTTCCTCTTTTTTTTGGGGTAAAATATAATTTTCCCTCTTTTTTTGTTTGTTGGTATTGCTTCTATCAAAACCTGGGGGTGAAGAGGGTTGTTTTGAAAACAATAGGAAGACATTTCGGATCATATTTCAATATCTAAATTTTAAGATATGGATCAAGAAAGAGACGAAGAGCGAGCCGTTTATTTATTCCCTTTGTAATATTATTGTCGTTTACGAGTCAAAACAGCGTGCTCATAGTTGATGAATGCGCGTCGTTTCCGTTGTTTGGATGTGCACAGCGTGCCATTTTTAACTTTGATTACTGAAATCATTCATGCGCGGTGTCCGTGTGCCCTTTTCAAAGATCGACGACATGCACTGCACGCCATTTAAATTTATCACCAAAGACAATGAGACAGGTGTGCTATTTTAACATCTTTACGTACACGTTGTGTGGTCTCTTATTCATCGATGCACAGCGCGTCGTGACTTCTTGAGAAATCATGTCGTTTAGATTTTAGAATACTCTATATGAACGAACACTCGGATTCTCAGAACTCATGCTGTTTCAGTGGCGACGAAGTTGTACGTCGTTTATATTTTTGGGCCTTTGGCGCTGTCAAAACAAAAAAAGAGGACTGTGGGCCGTCACTTTCTGCTACTGCCAAGTGCCAACCATGCCAAAGTCAGGATTTTTAGTTAATACGATAATAAATATACAGATTTTTTTTTGTGTGAAGAGGGGGAGACATTACATAAGAATTAATTTAAAAAGAATTACATAAGAATACTTCGTGGTCTCATCGATCCACTCGCATCCTCTAACAAAACCGGATGAACGTAATCCGGACAAGAATTAAGCAACTGAAAACTTAAGGGTAAAGAGAATACATAGTTTGCTAATCCGTCGGCTAGACGATTAGCCTCCCTATACACATGCGAAATCCGGACTTCCCAGTCCTTCGACAAAAAGCCGTAGCACAAACGTACTAGAAACGACAGAGGATGCGTATCACTGATCCCTATCGTGAGATAACTCACCACCACCTGCGAATCCATTTCCAACTCTACACGTGTAGCTCGACGCTCCCAGGCTATGTATAGACTATAGTACACGCCTCAGAGTTCTGCCAGGGGTGCCAAGCAAACGCCAACATTAATAACAAAACCTCCACACCAATCCCCACTACTAACTCGGAGAACACTCCCCGCTGTAGCGAATCCTGAGTTCCCGCGAGACGCACCCAGTGAGGAGTACACAAAATATATAATTGATTAAGAGGGATGGCCGAAAAAAAAAAAGTTATAACAGTCAGTATGATCAGGAACACAAATTCGCGAAATAATATAACCACGCAAAAGTTAAGCGCGTGACATAAAAATGGTTAACCTATAGACTATAGTCCAACCAAATTAACTAGACATTTTTGTCTGATTTTATGTAAAAATAAAATATTAAATATCCACATTAATACTATGTATAATGTTAAGTTTGTTTTTTCGAAATATTCTTTCTAGACAGTGTTTTTTTATTTATGTGGTCATGTCAAATAAAGATGGCAGATGTCTTTATTAACTCTACCAGATTAAGTGAAGTAAACTTTGATACATCATTATCAAAGGATATCAAGTGAAAATAATGGGTTTTGTTCCAAGACGCACCAATCTTAGAAACACAGTCACATTGGTACGATTTACATGGTTAGAATGAAATTAACGAAGTTGACAAGTTTCAAATCGAATCTCTAATAATGCTAACTTACCAAGATTTATACGTAGACTAATGTATATGATAATGACCCTTTGAACGATTTAAACTTGGCTTTGGATTTTGAAGTAAAACACTAAAACACATTATAAAATGTTTTTCAACAGTTTTCATGATTTGGAACCACGTTATCTGGAAACATAACCTAACCTTTGATATAACATTAGCGTGTGAATCTAATTGATACTTACTAGTTTTGGAATATAACTCCACGGGTATATATGATTTTTAAGAAAATTATTTTGTCAAAATCAAAGTTTATGGATTATTCGTATTTGATGGCACGTTAATCTGACATGATGTTTTTTTTTTTTTTGGTTAAATTATCTGACATGATGTTACATATGAAATTCATAGGATTTGCGTGATTTTCAGACCGAATATGTAAGGATCTCGAATCTAACACTATATTGTATATAGATTTAAGTAGTTAGATCTAACATGCATTGAACGTGTACTAAGCGGCTCTATCTTACTAGTTGATTTGTTAAACATATTAAGAAAGTACAAAAACGGAAAGTGAGGAAGAGATTTCATGGCAAAAGTTAGTCCTTAAATAGTATACTCCCGGAGATGAGCAATAATGGTGTTCCTTATATTATTGCATGTCTATTTTCATTTTCCTTTTTTTCTTCTCTTTTGTCTTAAAACTCTGAATCTATTCGATATCATAAAGGAAAAAACGTCAACGGGTCAGAGTAAGACGTCTCTAATGTAAATAGACAAATAATTCTAGTTTTTGTTTATTGTCAAACATCAACTTTTGCCACAAAATTGCCACAACGAAGCTTTTGAATTATTTTATTACTTTTGAAGTTACAAGGTCTTATAAGCTTTCTTCCTGATGAATTTAATTTACGTACGCAACCTTTTCACATTATCTCGATTAGTCGATTATAGTGGGCACCAGTCATATATGTTCATGTTTAATATATCTGTGTAAACGTATGATTCAAAAATTTCTCCCTTTAAATCTATAGTAATGTACTAATGTAGTCTTAGTATTTGGAGTTATATTCAACTTCTGAACTCATGCATAACGTACATTAAAAAAAACACACAAAAAGGCAAATTAAAGTATAAAATATCGATTGTAATTGCTCAATTACGGATCACACACAAACACATTTATTGAATACTCGGTACCATATGATGATATATAAAGACACACTGACACACACACACAAACATTCTTTATAAGACGACGTACGATATATGATAATATTATGAAAAGAAATCGACAACATCTATAAAAATCGGTGATGAATGTGTCTAATGACCGACGCCGGGGCTAGGGACCGATCCTAGCAGACGGTGAATCTCCCGCGAGTGTTCCGGCACCATATGCTGATCGGGATAATCTCCCGGAGGAGAAGTGTGACCTTTGTCGCTTGGACCCGAAGGTGGTACATTGCCCTTTGGTAGGGCACTAAGAAACAATCCCTTGCTTGCATCGTAAGGCATTAAAACCTTTCTAGCTTCACAAGATTGCGAGGCAAAACCTACAATAGAAAGCAATAAGAAAATAATCGAAATGGAGATCCTGGGACGAGTCATTTCGTATAATTGGTTTTAGGATATAGCTAGTATTAAATATTAATTATTTTATGAAGCAAGAAAAGTTTTGGTTTTATTTTGTGTTTTTCTAAAATGTTATCTTGTGAATGAATATATGATAGAGTGGATCTCTATATATATAGAGAGAACGGAGTGGGACGAGGTCAATGGTAATTTGGGTTAGGTACATATGAACTAAATTGGATAGTTCGTATATATATAGTGTTTACAAATAATATCTTATGGATCAATTCATATATAGTTCGTGCTTTTCTAACTCCAAGAACTGCAAACCAAGAAAGCCCTCGCCTTACATGCTTCTATATAACTGGTAATATATAAAACGATAAAATAGCATTCTGGTACTATGATTCCGCACATTATTTTAGCAATAATTTTGCATCTTTATTGTTGGACTTTTGTGTGTTTATAGCAAAATTTTATCATGCGATACAATTATATGTTTGAATATATTACTTTTCATACCTCAATTATTGAAGATCTAGTGATAACATAATTGTTTGAATAATCTTATCAGATTTACATTATTTCAATATATTAGAATTTTCGAGAGCAATTTTATAACACTGTTAACCCAACAGCGCTTATGTGCTTTTTTGAAAAGAAAGAACCAAATGGCCTAATTAATTGGAAGTCAAAATTCTTACTGCTAAAACAGAGAGTTCATTGAGCCATCAACATATATGATTGAGCAAAACACAAGTTGAAACAAAACAGAGCTATTTTCCTGATTGGAGGTTATTTAATCTTTATTGAGACTCCTAATTGAGCAGCTCCTGTGACGGTTTCATATTTACTATATTGAACACAAATTAAGTGGTCTCCAAACTGGATTCAATGAATTATATAACAAAGTCTTAACCAACCGAATCATTCAACATGCTCAAAGCCAGTATTACACACTCTCTCAGCAGAAACCGTTAGCACAAGAAAGCAAAGACGAGGGCTTGTATGTTTCAAATGTTCTAGAGCGAACAACAAAGTTCACACATGCGAGATCGTCTTGGCAATGTAAAGAGCCTATCGAGGATCTTCACATCTTCATTCTTCATATGATATAAACAGAGAGTAAATTTCTTGAGGACTGTTGAATTAGCCATAAAATAACTCACTAGTTTCTCCATATCCGCTATGTGTCTTGCTCTCACCTCGACAAACTCAAGGGATGATAAGACACAGTGAGGCACATCATAAAAATTTATTCCATAGTGATAACCTTGAAACCCCTGCAAAGTAGGAAAAATTTAGTATATGTTACAGTTTCAGAATAGAAGTTTAGTATATACATTAGTTGGTTAATAAGAGAAATACTAACCATGACAAGAGATTTTAGATTAGGACACCTCTCAAGAAAGAGTAGCAAATATTCCCAGTATCCGAGTGGCGGTATGTCCTTGACGCTCAAGGTAGAAAGGTTATGAATTACTGATTCCGATTTCGGGAGGAGCTTACGATTTACCTACAAAACAAAGAATACATGTTACAGTTTTTCATAGTCGAAAGAAAAGAGAAAAAAAAAAAAAACAAAATCTAAAAAGTTAGAGAGATGAGAATCAAGATAAATAGATAGTTTACCCGAAGAAAATCAGAAGAGATAGTTAAATTAAAATATCTGACACGAGAGATCAGGGTAAGAAAACCAGGAAAGCTTTCACCAAAATTAATCAAATCATCAAGATCCAACTTAACAATGGAGCTCAAATCATTTACGATGATTCTTTCAACAAAGTGATGTTTCAGCTTTAGATACTTGAGCCTTGGGGTATCCAATACAACTTGTGTTGCCTGATGATGATATCCATATTCGTTTTTGTTGAGACAGAAGCTCAATAGAGACGGAGACGAGACTTTAACTGCATACATCTTGTCCATAGTTAGGGTTTGTAGAGCAGGGCAGGCTGAGATGAGCATCTCCATACACAGATTGTCGTCAGCAAGAAACACGATTTGTTGTAGATCCAAGATTTTAAGACAAGGCAAAGAGACTGATGACTTGTGGGGAGGTTTAGGCAAGCTTGCGCAGTAGAGTTTCAAGGAGACCAAACTCTCACATGATGTATAAATGGTTGGAGGTATCGTAACTCTGTCGAACTTACTCGCAACATCTAAATGTTGAATATTCTTCTGCTGATCAATCACAGTGTTTATCGTCGCCTCGTTATACTTATTCAACCGATATTCAACATAGCTTAGCTTAACTCTTTGTAAGCACAAGTCACTGTTCAAATCCATAAACCTATCGAAAAACTCGTACTTGGCAAAATCTACGGAACTATTAAAGTCCAAATCCAATCCAGGCACAGATTTCCAAACGTTTCTCCATCTGCGACATAAAAGGCTAGTCTTGACAACGTCCTTGGTAGGGAGTTTCAAAAGTATCTCATAAAGCAAAGAATCTGGTAATTGATTAATTATATCAGCATCACCAACAGCTTTCTTCGTCATCTATGGATTCTGCGTTGTGATTAAAATTACAACAGATCGAAGCCGTGTGATTTCCTTTCACCTAGGGTTTGGATAAAGAAAAAGTCTAAAAGACGCGAATAAAATAATCAGGAAAGAGTAATGAACAAGGAACAGCATGATCCAATCACCTGGCACAGCTAAAGAGTTTTTGAGTTGATCATAGTAAAAGTAATCACGTGAATGCGGATATTAGCCTCCATATCAGATTAGATTAGGTCTTGGGATCCTCATAGTCATAGGAGGAATAAGGTAACTTTTGAAGTTTTTAACTTTTAAAAGAATCCAAATCCCATAATAATAGCCAAGATTTATTTATCGTTACAAAAAACTCTATATAAATATTTTTTATTTTTTTTATTTTTATTTTTTGTAGAAATATTTATCGTCAAGAAAGAAAAATTATATCTTCCCCCCACCCCAACATATAGTTTTTTTTTTCAGCTTAAAAAAAGAAAAAGGAAATTTTGTATCTAGAACTAAATCCTAGACAACAAGTGTTCTTAGGTGTAATAAATCCTTTATATAAACAATGTTTAAAACACACTAATCGTGTAGACATTTATCGCCACTTAATAAACCTTTTGCTAATACAGTGATTACTGCTTACGTCGCCTACATAGTTGAACATACCATGGCACTGACGTTAAACGCCAAGGGTAAAACTGTAAAAGCCTATGGATATTACTACTACAGTCACCTACGCGGACGATAGATAAACGGACGAGATCTCAGCTTATAATCACAGACTGTCACCGCCCGTCACGTTAACTCTTACACCATCTTGTCGCGTGATTTCAAATCTCAGTTTACACACCTTAACAACACTGACTCCTCTCAGATTAATCGCTGAGCAGAAGAAACCACCCTGAGACGGCGGAGATGGCAGGGTACAGAGTGGAAGATGACTATGATTACCTCTTCAAAGTTGTTCTTATAGGCGATTCCGGAGTAGGAAAGTCGAATCTCCTTTCCAGATTCACCAAAAACGAGTTTAATCTCGAGTCTAAATCAACCATTGGTGTCGAGTTCGCCACTCGGACCTTAAAAGTCGATGGTAAGGTCATCAAAGCTCAGATTTGGGACACTGCTGGTCAGGAGAGGTTCGTTTCTTTTCATTTTCCTCGTCTCTCCATTTCGTTCTTCGGTTTTAATAGTTTAATTTTGTCGATTTGTGTGTGTGGGAATCGGCCTTCGAGCTAGATCTTGCTCGATGAAAGTATTGCACTTTTAGTTTCTTTCGCGTGGTTCGATTTTTTTTCTTTCCTGGGTTAATTGGTCTCGAGTACACTTGAAATAGGAGCCACTGTCCCGGAGATCACTCTAACAGTCAAAGCTCCTATGCACAGATCTATCTTTGTCGTTACTTGGATCGGGAAAGCTAGCTTTTGATCCGTTTTTCTGACTTGATTTTAGCTCGTGAGACTACAATTGTACTTGAATCTATTAACCCAGTATGTATGTTCTTTCAATATCTTTATATGGTACTCAGGACGGAATTGAATCGTTTATGGAGAGTTGTGTTCTTATTTTCACTAGGTCTAGAGACGGTGTCTGATTCATTCATTGCCTTCTATGCTTGTGTTTAGTTTTAGCTTTTGGGAGTAGTGAATGTGTTCAGCAGCATTTTAATAGAGAGTCTCTCCGTTGACTTTTTATACTCAAATATCGCTTCTTGAAAACGGTTGACTGCATTTTGACCACCATAGAAGGTCAGGTTATGGATGTAGTATAATAATAGCCTCTGTTCTGAAAAAAAGTCTGTATGTTTGAGTCAATACGACCATGATTGCTTGAGTTGAATCTTGATTGGATGGATGTCAAGAGCATGTTATAGATTCTGGTTAATATCAGGAACACTACTATAGACTGTTGTTAGAATGTAAGCAAAGAATTTGATCTCTTTACTAGTTGAGTTGCCCCCATTGAAACGGTTGTTTTACTGCCTTCTTTGACCTGGCAATTTAGTTTATCCCTATTTTTGGCAAAACTGTTGGATATCGGATCAGTATGCACATCCTTGACAGGTTGAGAAAAACGTATTAGGTCATTTCTGGTATTAACTAATTGCAGGTCCTCGATCTAGATTGGGGATTGCCTGAGATTAGGTTACTGTGAAAGTTGAAAGCCTATAATAATTTTCTTCTATGACAGATGATTATAAAGCCTATCGCTTGATTATCACCTCTGCTCAGTTTATCACTTATTCTCGGGACAATCTTAAGATTCTGTTTGATTCTCGTCACAGGTACCGTGCCATCACCAGTGCATACTACCGTGGAGCCGTTGGCGCACTCCTAGTATATGATGTAACCCGCCGTGCAACATTTGAGAACGTAGACCGGTGGTTGAAAGAGCTCAAGAACCACACAGACCCAAACATTGTGGTGATGCTCGTTGGTAACAAGTCTGATCTGCGCCATTTACTAGCTGTTCCGACAGAAGATGGGAAATCCTATGCTGAGCAAGAATCGCTTTGCTTCATGGAAACATCTGCCCTTGAAGCCACCAACGTCGAGGACGCCTTTGCAGAGGTCTTAACACAGATTTACCGCATCACAAGCAAGAAGCAAGTTGAAGCTGGTGAAGATGGGAACGGTTCTGTCCCGAAAGGGGAGAAAATTGAAGTCAAAAACGATGTCTCTGCTCTGAAGAAACTCGGGTGCTGCTCAAATTGAGGGCTTTTTTTTTTTCTTTTCAAATATGTTGAGAGAGAATTATAACCCCATGGCCAATTGTTCTGTTCTTGTTTTGTATCAATATCGAAATTTATATGAGTTTAGACTACACATTATATAATGTTTCTTTAACTTTATTTCAAATACTGTTGGTCAACCAGTTTCAGACTACATGAGCAAAGTGTTTTCAGAATAGCAATCTCAATCTTGTTTAGGATACGAGGCATCAACGAGAAACTGATTCAATCTTTGTCCAAATGTCTGGGTAGAGAATGACTCGACGACATGTTTCCTGGCTTCATTTCCCATTTGGTTAGCTAACTCAGAATTTCCAATGAATTTAGCCATTGCCTTGCTGAAATCTTCAGGAGTCGGTTCACATAGATAACCGGTTACTCCACTCTTCACTGTTTCCACAGGGCCACCACTATTGCAAGCGATCACCGGTTTGTAAGCTGCCATTGCCTCTAGTGGAACAATACCAAAATGTTCATCCTGCAATATCAAACTTTTCAGTTTGGCTTTTGAAATAAAGGAAAATATTCTCATTGACCAAGATTGTAAGGAAGAAGAACCACCCTTACCGTCGGTGTGTAGAGAACACACAAGCAATTTGAGAGAAGTTCGTTTCTTTCTGGTGTTGAACAAGATGTGATAAACTTTACTCCATCAGACACGCCTTCTTTTTTGGCTAAACTTTTGAGATCGTCCAAATATTCGACATTCTCCCTTAATCTTTCATCGTATCCCCCTGAAAAGACGAGTTTTCTTAAGCATCGAACCGAGTGGAACTTGACATAGCAAAGAACAGTAAAACTTGCCTGCGACCGTGAGGGTAATGCCATTAAGATTCTCTTTATCTTTGCATAGTATTGCAAAAGCTGAAACAGCTAAATCGATGTTCTTCTTCCTCTCGAACCGGTTTATAGAGAGAAAGTTCAACCTACAGAACCAACCAGCAGCAAAGTAGTTATGAATACGTTCATTCTTCAACCTGGCGACGAATGAGATTTAACTGAAATATGAAGTCCAAGGATTATACAATACTTATAAGAAAGTGGTTTATCGAACTGATTCACGTTGACTGCTGGATAAAGAACGGCTGGACGAATTCCTCGAGCATGAAGACGCTTAAATGTATTGGCAAAGGTTGATTCCGTGAATTTACTGTTAACAAGAATCAAATCTGCCATTCCTATAAAGCAAACAAGTAGTATATAAAAACAGAGAATTCCGAGAGAAAAAAAGGGTAAGAGTGGTAAAGATTGAAACCTGTGGTTTCTTCTTCGACAAAGTCAATTGGTTTCCGATACATTCGCCTGAGAGGAGTAGTGTGCTCAGCTAGCAAGAGATCAGGAAAATGGCAATAGAAAACAACCTGTGATCCCAAAATGATTCAGATATGAAGCGCTATAGATAATCAACTGGTCTTGAGATTCTTTACTCAGAGATATAACTATGCATCAGTAGTAAGTACCTTTGTTGACCTTTTGAGTTTCAGCAGCGGGATAACGACCGAAACCTGGTCGGCTAATATAACATCAAACGATGACCATCCCAAAATGACACAGAGGGCGACAAATAAACATCTCAGATACGCACACACAGCGTGAAGACGGTAGAAAATGTGACGTGGCAAGAACGAACCGTACACCGTAACTCGAAAGAGACCTGAATATTTTTCAGTTAGATATGGATCATGAATCTTGAACCCTCAGAGGAGAATGCTTGCAAATATGAAACATTACTACACTATATAACAGAAAAATCCGAATCTAGCTAGCTTATCACAATGAGTGCAACACAACAATCGTAGAAAGTTATAAAAAAAAGACAGTGAGAAACGATAAGTCATGAATCTAAAACACTAGGTTCAGAGTCTCTTAGCTCACCGGAGAGAGTTTCCTCAAAGCATCTGAATTTATCGTGGTGAGAAGTAAAGACATGAACTTTATGACCGTGAGAAGCAAGCTCAACCGCTGCATCCACAATCAATCTTTCAGCTCCACCTGCATAAAGTGAGTATTTTTTTTTTTTTTTCGATAGCAGAAGATAATCAAAGATTCATAATCCGAAAATGGGTATCAAATTTAAGCCTCGATAATTTGCTCCTGATCTCTCAGTTACGTTAATTCATCAAATTTTAAATCAAATTCCGACTTGTAAAGATAAAAATAAGCGGGAAAGCGGATCATTGGATGAATGTAGTGGTACCTATTCCAAGATCTGGATGTATTATAGCGATGTTCATCTTCGATCGTCGTTTTCTCTCCATTTTTGATTCTTCTGTTTATTGTACCTTCAACAATCAAAAGATTCCCAAAGATTCGAGAACCGGGTCAAGTCGGGTCGGGTTGCGTTATGTTCTCGGGTTAGGTCTCATTTCGTCTACACCAGAAAACATAGAAACGACAGCGTTTTTGAGTAGACTCAAATTAAGAGAGAAGAGCAGAGAAGAAGATAGCGAGCGATTAGTAAAAATGATGGAGGAAGGTCCACCGGCTCCTAAGGTTCTCCGAATGATCTACTTCGTCGGCGCCGGGTGTAAGTTTGCTCTGTGCTTCGTTTTCGTTTGCGTTTTCTTCTGCGCTTATTTTTGTGACCCAGCAAATCCAACATTTTCGCAGTTTTATGTACTTTCGCGATCAATAAGTGGCGTGAGATCGAGAAGAATTCGATTCTGAAACAGCAGGAGACGGAGCAAAAAGGAGATGGAAGTTTATTGAATCAAACGCCTGCAGATTCGGTTCAGAAAGCGATGAAATGATGATATCTCTCTCTTTTCTTTTTGTAAGTTTTATCTGTACTGTTTTTTGATCCAGATGCAGAAGTTGTTACAATTCTAGTCTCGTTGACTAAACTTTCCTTTGGAAGAATTTGCCTCTGCATATCTTTTGATGAACCCTGGAATCTGATACTCGTAGAATCGTGGTCGTACTCGTAATCTTGATTCGACCTATCTGCCTTCCTTTGATCCCCTGCAATTTTATAAAATCTTGATAGATTGGTTTTCTGCTTTGTACAGTGCAAAGATTGTTATGCTTTCTGAGCTATGTGGAATTCAATTTATCTATTGGTCCGGTTTATCAACGCTTTAAGAAACAAAATGCTTCGCTTTAAATTTCCAACAAAAAGGATAAAAAGAAGAAGATAGTCTTAACATCTTTGATAAGTGTTCCGAGCAAAGGAGCAAGCAAACACAAGTTTGATGAAATGTGTACATAGATCTAATTTTGACATCATAAGTTTGACCCTTTGTTTTAAAGAGTCAACAAACAAAAAAAAAAGTGATCATAAACAATTCTTTGCAAGGTTAAACCTTAAATCTTATTTTGACATCATAATCCAACGCACATCAAGTTTGATGAAATGTGTAAATAGATCTAATTATATCTCTGATTTTATACTCAACTCAAACTCAAAGTTATTGACTTGGAAACATTTTTATTAAATTTAAACCCATGTTAACCAATTCTGTACGTTATACCGCCTAAAATATGTTTGCCTATGCAATCTGAAATACAGTAGATCATTCATCATACGACGAAAAATGCTCTTTCGAATCCGTGATGCGAACCGCAACTAAAAGTCAATAGAGTATCGTATCCCAAACCACATGTGCGACGCCGTATAGTACGGCTTAAGAATTTACACAAGCATGCAAATTGTCATATACAACAATATTAACATTTGAGACTTGACGTTAATCCATTTTGACTTCTTTTTATTTCATATATATTCTTTTACATATACATCCGTTGAGATACACTTTTCTCTATTCAAAGACCTTGAAAAAAACAAGAAAATGGGATTAGCATCACATATTCTTACTCTTCTTTCTCTTTTCCTTCTCATCATTCTCGTTCGACCACAAGTCGATCCGTCCCAGCAACTCCAATTCATTAACAGAGGCGAGTTCGGAGAATCCACGGTGGAGTACGGCGCAAGTTACAGAGATGTAGGTGTAATCCGTAACCTATTCCGTCTATGTCTCTTTAATACCACGCCAAATGCATTCATACTCGCAATAGGGATGGGAACGGGAAGTTCGGATTCCATCATCCGTTGGGTTTGGCAGGCTAACCCGCAAAATCCAGTCCAAGAAGAGGCTTCTCTTTCGTTCGGGCCCGATGGAAATCTCGTTCTGGCCCAGCCAGATGGTAGAGTCGTCTGGCAGACTAAGACGGAGAACAAAGGTGTAATAGGGTTAGGGATGAACGAAAACGGAAATCTTGAGTTGTTTGATAATGGAGGATGGCCTGTGTGGCAGAGCTTTGATTTCCCAACGGATACGCTCTTAGTTGGTCAGTCTCTTACGCTCGATGGCCCTAACAAGCTCGTGACCCACGACAAAGGGTCTTATAGTCTTATCTTAGAGCCTGACCGGCTCGTTCTTAGCCATGAAATCCCTAGGAGTAGCAACAAATCCGTTGTGTATTACGTTATGGAAGGCCGGTTCATCCCAAGCACGACTTTTTACGCGGCTAAAGACCAAGGGACCGCGACACAGTTGGGCCTAGCCACTCCTGCTCTTAGGCCCGAGTTTCCTTACAAACATTTTCTCGCGAGGCCTAGATTCAACGCTTCGAAAAGTTTCCTCAGGCTTGACTCTGATGGATATCTTCGGATCTACACTTTCGATTTCAAGGTCAGTTTTCTTGCTTGGGAAGTAACGTTCGAGCTTTTTGACCAGAACAACAACTGTTGGTTACCGTCAAAGTGTGGAGAGTTTGGGCTTTGTGAGGATAATCAATGTGTTGCTTGTCCATTGGAGATGGGCTTATTGGGATGGAGTGAGGCTTGTAGGCCCAAGAAAGTGAGGAGTTGTGATCCGAAGACTTTTCATTATTATAGACTTGGAGGTGTTGACCATTTCATAACTAAGTATAACGTTGGTCTTGCTGTTGGAGAGAGTAAGTGTCGTGGTTTGTGTAGTCGAGACTGTAAATGTTTGGGGTATTTTTACGATAAGAGTAGCTTTAAGTGCTGGATTGGCTATGAGCTTGGGACTTTGGTTAAAGTGTCTGATTCTAAGAAAGTGGCTTATATCAAAACCCCAAATATTTGATCACTATCGACAATTAATCTATGTCTATAATCAAATAAGTCGGGATGTATTTTGTAACCAACGTTTAATGTCGTTGTGACTAAGCGTCTATAAAATACCATAACAAGATTTTACGTTACATTTTTAAGCAGGAAAACATGATTTTATGTTTTGTTGGAAAAACAAATTTTTTACTGAAAAAACAGATTTTAATGTTTTGGCAGAAAGACAACTTTTTTGCGGATTCAATAGAATTGACTATATGATTTTACATTTTTATTTATTTTACGTAAATATTATAGAATTAGAAAATTAGTTATTCAAAAAACTAAATTTCGTAAAAATAGTTTTTTTAGTCATATTAAAAAATAAAGGATTTAGAGTTTTAACTTTTTTAGACATGAAAATTCTTGACACCAACAAATCTTGGTAAGCACTAGTCAATTCCCTACCATTCATTTCATAATCCTCGATGTAGGCTTTGTGAGAAGCACTGTAAACGATGAAAGTTGTTCAGGACCACCGTGAAGTTGAAGATGGAAAGTGCAAAATCGTCTTCTTTAACGGAAGTAATGTTTGTCTCCAATATTCAAACTTTAAACTATTTTGTGTGTTGATTTGGATACAAATTCATTTAACATATGTTTGAGTATTTGGTTCATAATATTTTAAAAAACTAATATTTTTACATATTTATTGTTTTATATAGTTTAGTAAAATTGGACAAATAATCAAAATCTTCTGACCAGCTTTTGTACGATTATTTTGTTTTGTTTCTAGTTTTTTAAAATTTACGACTGCCTAGGGTCTTATTAATTAAGGCACGACTCTGTCTCCAAGTTTAGGCACGACTCTTTTGCAAGGATTAGCAAACATGTTAATGTTAACGATAACTAATTATCACCATGGATTAGTTTTTACCAACAACATTTGAAGTCACATTTTTATTAAATTTTAGTTTCATAATCATAAACGATATTAATATTTGTTTACTCATGATTGAGGGGCTTTTGTTCATGTTTATGATTCAACTTTCTCTCTTTTACCGAAATGTTGTGTAATCGTTTTGGTATATCTCTTTTTTTTTAAAAAAAAGTTGATCAAACGGTCATAACAAACTCGTAATTAAGTATGTTATAATCTAAATTTACTATTGCATTTATAAATATCCAAGTTAGGTTATGATTACATACTTTTGTACAAAACAACAATTCACTTAAACAAACAGAAAACTGAGTTCATATCAACTATCTGAGAATGATTAAACAATGAAGGCTATTAATTCTAACCATAGTATTTTTTATGTATGTTGATTTACAATGCAATAGTTTATCATGATTTCTGTTTGTTTCTCATTTTAGTCTACAAAATGAAAATAGAGCCATAATAGATTTTGTTTTTGTTTATAACGGAGATACATAATGGACATGAAATACTAAGAAACTCATAAATATTTAATAATTACTACAAACCTTAAAGTTAGAGATTAATGCAAAATCCAAATTCTTTGTTAGCACGAGTTTATAAATCTAAGTACTACGCTAATACATCAGTATTAAGAGCAAAGCAGAAATGGAATTGTAGCTTTGCTTGGCGTAGTATCCTTAAAGGAAATAATCTTTTACGACAAGGAATTAGATGGTCTGTAGGAGATGGAAGTCAGATCCAAGTATGGCATGATCCTTGGTTACCTGTTAATCCATCTATGCCTGCTGCTGGGGTTGGAGCAGTAACTTACCCAGATTTAAGAGTTAAAGACCTTCTTGTTCAAGGAACTAATTGATGGAATGAACTGAAGTTAGCAGAACTATGTGAGCCATCTGATATCCCGTTGATTAAATTAATTAGGCCGTCTCTATCTGGAGCAATGGATGACATCAGCTGGATACATACATCTCATGGAGGATATTCAGTCAAGTCGGGCTACAATCTCCTAAGGAGTACTCGAGGGCAGTCATCTAATATCCCAACACATTTGTACCGATTCTTTTGGAAGCAGAATGTTCCTCCGAAAGTAAAGAATTTCTGGTGAAGGTCTTTTCATCACGCTCACCCTGTGGCAAATCAACTTACACAAAAAAAAAGATTCTTGCCGATAGTACATGTCAGATGTGTGGAGAAAAAGAGGAAACAGTCAATCATCTTCTGTTCCAATGTCGTGTTAGCAGAGAGGTTTGGGATCTCACACCATTGAATTCTCCTACTTCTGGGTATTTGAATTCTCATGACATTTATGAAAACTATAATACCTTTAAGGATTTAAATGCTCATGATCCTGCTGCAATGATGCTATTTCATATGATGGGGTGGAGAATCTGGAAAAATCGGAATGAGCTTATTTTCAATGCTCGAAGATGGCTCATACCTGATATAATTAACAAGGCGTTGCTTGATTTTAAACTATGGCAGGATGCAATGGAAGCTACAAAGGTTGAGTTAGCAATGATTTCAAGTACGAGGTATGAAAATTCTCAACAACTTTTCCAAGACAATGTGCAATTATGTTGTTTTACTGATGCATCCTGGATTTCAAGAACACAAGCAACCGGAATAGCATGGATCCTATATGATCAAAATGGTAAACAACTTCTCACAGGATCTGGAGCTATCCCTCCAACTCTCTCGCCGCACGATGCAGAGGCTGAAGCTCTTCGCATTGCTATTTTTGATCTGCGACGACTTGGTTATAAAGATGTTAAATTTGTTGGTGACTCAGGCATTATTTATGGCCCTCTCATTAATTATCAAGAGTCAGCAAATCCAACATGCATTCGACATCTTCCTTGTGCAATGGCATTACAAGATATTAGAAGAATAGCGCAGGAAAATGGTTTTACTTTCGAGCAGATCAAACGCAATCTTAATAACGATGCGGATAGTTTAGCTAAAAAGGCTAGAACTACTTTGTAAAACTATCTAATCAAATGGCCTATGTAACAGATGTTTGGTTTTAATGAAATCCTGTGACGACCAAAAAAGAAAAAAAAAACTTCCCATCTTGACCCTCTGGTTCCATCGGATACTTTTGAGAAACCTTTGTTCGTTGCTTCGTCGAGAAGGAGGAAACCAACTTCGTTCTGCAATCTGCACTTTCGCCACGCCCATTTTCCTACTGGGAATCCCTCAAAGCTCGATGGATCTAACGACGACTCGCCAGAGGCGCCCACTTCTATCCGGTTCTTCTTCATCTTCTTCGACCAAATCCTACTCAAAGACCGACAAGCCAGGCCGATCTAACGGCGGGGATGTGGAGGATCGAAGACTCCGGTGGTTCTTGCCGTTTATGGCGCTATGTTATCTTCGTTACATGAGCGCGACTTCTAACATCATTCATGACTGCGATGAAGTGTTCAATTACTGGGAGCCTCTCCATTATCTTCTCTACAAGTCGGGATTCCAGACCTGGGAATACAGGTTTTGGCTTTGCCCTACATTTCCCTTATAATGCCGCATTACTGATGGTCTGTTCGTAGTGAGTTAGAGACACGATGTTAGCTAGCTCAAATGAGTTTAGTAAACTGTGTGTGATGGTGTGTGAGCGAAATTTGAAATGTGAAGTGGTTAATCGGAAATTTTCATTTCGAAGCAGTTTCGTTCTTAGTTTGTTTTGAAATCGTAATCAAGAGATTGATTACGTTTTGTTTGGTTTCCAGCTCCAACTTTGCTCTTCGCTCCTACTTATACATTCTTTTCCATGAATTGGCTGGGCGGCCTGCTTCTTGGTGGTTTGGTGATGACAAGGTAAGCATTGCAGACATCCTGTTGTAGCATTCTCTTTGGTATGTGACTGCTTGATCTCTTATGTGTAATCATGTGGATAGGTTAGAGTTTTCTATGCGGTGAGACTCTTTCTCGGACTGGTTTCTGCTGTTTCAGACACTGTCCTGGTTGTTGCCCTAGCCCGAAAGTTCGGGAAACGTCTTGCTACATACGCAGTTGCAATGCTCTGTTTAACCAGTGGCTGCTTCTTTGCTAGCACCAGTGAGTGTTCTTTTTAGTGTGTAGCTTTGCTTTTGCTTTTTTTTTCCCCCTTAACAGACATGTTATAGGCTTATCTTCTGATTTTGTTTATAACTCATGTTTCCTTGGAATTGGCTAGGTTTCCTCCCTAGTTCATTCTCAATGTATGCCATGAGTCTCTCATCTGGTTTATTACTTTTCGAGAAGTATGCCATGGCTGTTGCAGTTTCGGTTGTCGGGGTGGTTCTTGGCTGGCCGTTTTCTATCCTGGCCTTCTTACCTGTCGTTATTTACTCTCTGGTGAAGAGATTCAAACAAGCATTTATCTCCGGCGCTGTCACCTCTATTTTTCTCCTTGTAAGCTAACACCAATCCTAAGTGCTTTGTCTGTGTGGATTTTATGGGAGTTATTCCGACTTACATTCGCATCTGTAATTTGAAGTTATTGTTTTCTATTCTAAGTAAGTTTTGTCTCTTTTCCAGGGACTCTCAGTACTTGTGGATTACTACTATTACAAGAGATGGACATCTTCGGTTTTGAATCTCTTGATATACAATGTCTTAGGGGGTGGAGAAAGCCATCTCTATGGGACTGAAGGACCGTTATTTTATATAAGAAATGGGTTTAACAACTTCAACTTGGGGTTTATTTTGGCAATCCTGTTCATCGCACTATTTCCTGTTATCAGAAGAAAGTATGACCGTAGCTTGCTCGTTGTGATTTCCCCAATGTATATTTGGCTAGCGTTCATGTCACTTCAGCCCCACAAAGAAGAAAGGTGACCTTCTAATATCTTTCGTCTTGATGTCTTTGTACCAGCTATAACGTGGCTTCTAGATTTAAAGGAAACCGTTTTTATGTACTTTTAAAATATCCTGATATTCAACCAACAATGTGTTTGATTGTCAATGAGTTGCTGCAGGTTCCTTTATCCAATATACCCTTTGATATGTGTTTCTGCTTCTGCTGTTATTGAGAACATCCCTGAGCTGTTCCGGGAAAAGTATAGCTCACGCGAAAGTCTTCTGGTGACAGTAAGTTCTAACTTGCAATATCTCAGTCGCTGAGTTATTCCTTTCCACAAATTGAAAAGAAGTAGGTTCTGTGATTCTCACATTTCTTTTTAATATGCAGATAACCAAATACCTCCGACCTGTAATTCTTGGTCTTATCTTATGTGCTTCACATTCTCGCACCTTTTCTCTGATTAATGGCTATTCCGCTCCCATAGAGGTCTACAAGCTACTGGAGCACCATGATGATGCAGGACCAGGTATAAACAGAACTCTTAGAGATCATTACAATGCAAACACGAGTGACGATCACGTCTCACTTCTAGAAAACTGTAGTAATTTTCCACTGGAAAAAACAGGAACAAAGTCATTCTGTCAAAAGTTTTCTGTTGAGTTCTTGGTTGGTTTGATTGGTATGTCAGGTTCTGTTCTGTGTGTGGGAAGCGAATGGCATCGATACCCATCATCGTTTTTCGTGCCTGACTTCATTAGCGAAGTACGGTGGATCGATGATGGATTCCGCGGTCTTCTTCCATTCCCATTTAACACTACACTTGGAGGCACTGCAGCATCACCTCCATATTTCAACAACAAGAACCAAGCATCTGATGAACAATTTGTAAAACTAACTCTTCTCTTTTTACGACTCTTACCCATAAAGCTCGAGCATTGCTTGAATTTTCTTCATCTTTTTTATTTTCAGCTAAAGAATATTGAAACTTGCACATTCCTCATTGAGCTGCAGTTTAGCAGACCGTACCCATACCGCGGCCACGACTTATCGACATGGGAGGTATAAGAATCAAACAGTATTCCTGAAACAAAATATATCTTAATATTTCACGTCTGCTTTAATCATTTTACATTCTGGCTTATTTTTTTCAGGCTATCGCGGTGTTACCTTATCTGGACAGAGAGCTTTCACCAGCTAAGTACAGATCGTTCTTCATACCTTACAAATGGCAGGAGAAAAATGTGTTTGGCAAATACGTAATACTAAGAAGAGTGCCAAAATGATCTCAAGTTCTTAAAACTCTCTAGACTGATGATAACTTTTTAACTCAGTTCATTGGCCAGTTTTGAGCGAAATGTAATAACTATTAACTGATTAGTATCGGCTTTAACTTCACGTCACGGTTCCTTGTGGTAAATCTCGAAATGGTCTGAAGAACGCAAAAGGAAGATCATGTTGTTGATGTTGACATTTGATAAGTTTTTTTGTATCTTATCATTCTTTTTGATTTTGCGATTCCAATTTAGATCATTGAGAACCCAAAAAAGGATAAATTGAGAAAACTCTTTTAAGTTGGCGTTCGACCAACGCGTCGTAAAAGGCAAAAAGAGAACAAAAGTGAAGGACATTTGGGAATAACATGATAAACAAATAAACCATTTTTCTATTACAAAAACCGTCCATAAAGGTTTTCTGAAATGTTCTGAACAAAATTATCAAATTAATTACCAGATTAATTTTCAGCATACTCATTGACATATGCCCTCTTAATCACTAGGTCCTATATAAAACTGAATTTTGGAAGAGAATAATACAAAGTTGAAGAAATTCAGATGTTTTAGAATTTGGATTTTCTCAAATGTATTTGTATTTTTATATTTATTACCATAAAGACATATTTTCCGAAAAAGAAAGGAAAAATAGAATTAAAAGCATCAAAGAGAGACGACGAAGCGTCCTCGATTATCACCGTGCGTCCTTTGCTAGCTTCGCTCTCTCTCAAAAACCCTAACTTCTCTGAGATCGATCGAACCTGATAGCGCGCGATAATGGCGAATAGTAATCTTCCCCGAAGAATCATCAAGGTCCGTGATCCGATCCTTTGTAAAATTCTCCGATCTCCATTTCTCTCGGTTCCTTTTTTTGGGGCTTTTAATCTGAAATCCGATTAAGGAGCTCGTCCGAACTCGGAGAGTTTTTGGCAATTTTTATTTATCTTATCCTCTCTACTTATCTGCAACTGATGATCTGACTTTTTTTTTTGTTTTTTGTTCTCCGATCTGGTAGGAAACTCAGCGTCTACTTAGTGAGCCGGGTAAACTCTTCAATTCATTATATCATTATCGAGTCTGACAGTAAATTTTAGCTGAAACTGCTGATTTTGATAGCTGGAATCATGGATTTTGATTCAAAAAATTTCAAATTTCTCGGAATTTTGAGGTTAATGGTTGTCATGCAATCGATCATTTGCAGCTCCTGGGATCAGTGCATCTCCGTCAGAGGAAAATATGCGCTATTTCAATGTTATGATTCTTGGTCCTACACAATCTCCTTATGAAGGTAGTAAATTTTTGTAAGGATGGTCATTAATTACTCTTCCAATGACTGCAACCATTGAAATTGCTGGTTCATAGCTGTGAATGTGTATCTTCCTCAATGCATTCTACTTACCAATATTCTCTTTACCTTTTTCTTCCGTGGCTATGAAAACTTTGCTGTGTATATCTTTGTTTTAAATTACAAACCGATATGTTCGTTTATCGTCGAGGGTTTCTATTGATCTTTACAATTGTTGGTTTTTGGGTTTTGGTGGTATCAGTAACGATGATTCTATAAACTACCCTTGATTTCATTCTCTACACTTTGTTCCACTGTGTTCTAGAATATGCAATGCTAAATTGTCATGTCAATGCTCCGGTTCTTTTATGTATGCCTTGTAGAATTAAGTCTGCTATTTTATCTCTGGTTAAATTTCTACTAATTGATGTAAATCAATCATTTTGTATCATTCTCAATTTGTAGGAGGAGTTTTCAAGTTGGAGCTCTTTTTGCCTGAAGAATATCCCATGGCAGCTCCCAAGGTAAGTTGCTTCAAATTTTGTGGTTATTTTTTTTTCAGTTCACTTTCCTGAGGTTTTAGCTTCATTCATTGCATTCCGTGGTAACTTGAGTAAAATTAGTGTAACCCCTCAATTTTAAGTAAAGGCATTGTAAATGGCTATTCAGGTGAATGTCTTTACTCTTAATATTGGGATTTTATGAGATTATTGAATCTGGTTGATTATGATTACTCCAAATGTATTTTCACGTATAACATTAGACAAGGTACTCAAGATTCTACATTGATCTCGAGTTTGCTGGTCTTATTGATGGTATAATTTGTAACACAGGTTAGGTTTCTCACCAAGATATACCATCCTAACATCGACAAGGTCTGTTGTGAAATCTTTCCGATTTTTTTTACTTAGTATCAAACTAACTTAATCAAGTACATGTTCATATATCCTTCTAAAATATGTTTTGTTGGCTTTTATTATCTGTATAGCTTGGAAGGATCTGCCTTGACATACTGAAAGACAAGTGGAGTCCTGCTCTACAAATACGAACTGTGCTCTTGAGGTATATATATTTCATATATTCTTCTCCCCCTTATAAAACATAAAATCAGAGTAGTTAATATAATTGTTGACACTTTCTGATTCTACAATGCCTGTGTAATAAAAAACAAAAGTATTCAAGCTCTTCTAAGTGCACCCAACCCAGACGATCCACTGTCTGAGAACATAGCTAAACATTGGAAGAGTAATGAAGCAGAAGCTGTGGACACAGGTGATAAATTATGATCGAAAATCTCAAAAAAGTTACAATATATTTGTTCCTTCTGTCTAGTTTGGTAATTGTCTCATATCAATCTGAACATATGCAGCTAAGGAGTGGACTCGTCTATATGCAAGTGGTGCTTGATGAAGATTGGAAACGGAGAAAGATCATTGTCATTTAAATAACATTATATATGGTGAAACTCTATCTCAAGGTTTTATCTGAATCCTTTTTCTAAAACTAAGGAAAAAGATTTGTACTCTCTGAATCTGTATAACTAGGGGGATTTAAGACTCGTTTACCCATATTTGCAGTTTATTTTTCTTTAAATGTGCTTGCTTAAGCTTTGTTTGTGTTAAAGATCTTCTCTAATCTCTAAAACGCTGTGGATATCAGATTTCACAGGTTGTGAATGAAGGTAAATTTGATGAATGATTGAAGTAGAGAATGTTACTATTACAGATGTATGAGAAGGCCACTAAAATGAAGCAGCTTATTTTGGTCAAATGTATATATAAAAAAAAGGTGGTAAAAAGTAGTCATGTGAAATGAAATTTCAAAACTTCAGAAACTTGACTCGTCAGTTGATGGACGCCTCAAGAAGTACTTCATACTATTGGCAAGAACCTACAATCACACAATTTTGATTTACTAATTAAACGGCAATTTAAAAAGATATACAAGATTTGACCAATAAATGGGGAAAAAAAGAAGATATACAAGAGAATAGTCAGACATCTGATTTTTTTACCTGCTGGAGAGGCTTGATTAGGGCTTTATTTCTGTAGCTTACGTGGAACTTTACCTTAGCCAACAAACCCTTTTGTTTGTTTGTTTGTGTCACATTCAACAAGAAGAAGCAAGATGAGAAACAAAGTGATTATATCTTTCGAAGAAATAGGTTTAAAACTCTAAACACAGGAGTATAAGTTACCTCGGTATCGAATTCTCCAGATTCAACAGCGACGCTGATATCTGAAATGATCTTCATCAGCTCAACTAATAGTCCAGGCCTATCCGCTGTTTCTACGTAGAGTAAACTGCATTCTCAAAAAGAGTTATGGATCAATCAATGAGATCATATATTAAAAATAAATAAAAAAAAGCTTGATATAAGGTGAAGATGAAGTTGAGATAAGGTATGGGCTCTCTTTACCTGCGGTCTGGTCCATCATCCTCGATGCTTATATGTGTTGCTATGTCCACATCAACCTGTCAACGTCCCAATCCAAAATACAGAAGAAAAAGAAAATGAATTCTGAGCTTAACTTGAAAGTTGCGTTCTCTATTCTCTTCTTCATCTTCTTCATCAAAGTGAATACTATAATCAAGTTCAATACTTCTTTCAATATCGACCCCCGCCAAATCGAAACATGTTCACTATTAGCCTTTGTTTTTTCTATCTTATTGTTTGTACATGGCCGAGGATACTATACTTCTCGAGAAAATGGTTGAAACGTGAGAAGAAGTGGATAACGTTATACAAACTAGCATCTAAAACTATGAGGTTTTTACCAGTTCAGTTGGTGGAAGAACACCAAAAGCTGCTCCCATTGCCAGTTGAGAACTTGATTCCTGATCCAAATAATCAAGAAGCAATGTATGAGCTGAGAAATTATGCAAGAATATGAATTTTAGAAAGAGAGAATATTTAAGATGCAAGTGGTTTACAGGATGAAACTCAAGCAAATTGTTAATGACAGTGAGACGAATAGCCTCGAGCAATTCAGGGTCTTCTACTTTTCTTCCACTATCCCTGTTTCAGAACAACACAGTCAGCACAAAAGTCAACTCTCTGACTTGATTCAGAGTAACATTAGACTCTTTAATCTCAAACATGATGATGAGATGATAAGACATACGCTTTAGTAATAGCGAATTTGTTGTGTTTGCCAGAAGAATCGAGGTAGACATTTGCCTTGACGACATTCAGGCCCAAGTTTTTGAGCGCATTCATCTGGATCAAAGTTTGATAAAGCGAGGGCGTGTTTATGAATGAAAACCCCAACAAAAAGTGGGAAGGAGAAAGTTCAAAAGCTTTTGTGAAAACAAAAAGTGAGAAAGAAGAAGATGTCATTACTGTGTCAAGTAGAGCTCCAAGACGATCTCCAAATGTTACTTCAACAACGGTTGCATCAGGGTCAGAATCTTGGTCGATTATGACCACTGGAGTTGGGACTTTGTCAGAATCTGAGGCACTTCCATCTTGCTTTCCATTCTTCATAAGAAATTGAAAAGAAAAGAAAACAAAAAAAACAAATAGAACTTAGGTCTATTTAGATTCTTAGTGTCCTTGTCTAATCCATTTCATACCTCCACAGCAGTAGCATTTGATGCTCGAAGCTTCAAACTCGATAATCTGATACAACAACAAATAAAATATAGAATTGATTGAATTACTTGGATCAGCAGAAGAAGACATAAATTCAATACAATACAGTGAACAAGATCAACCAAAACAATCTATGCTTCGAACTGAATTCCAGAAAGTATACGAATTCCTAACTAGCAGTGAAATCATTTGGACACTTAATTCGAAACACGAAAGAAGAAGAATCAGCACAAACAAAAAGATAAGCAATCAAAAAGAAGAAATCCTACGAAGCGCCAAAAAGGAACTCGAACTCAAGTTTTTCAAAAGACATCAAGACATAAGCTAAGTATTAAGTAAATAAAGAAATAGATACCAATCAATAGCAAAAGGAAAAACAAAAATACAAAAACCTTAGTCGATCGAGATTCGTAAGAGATTTATAGACAAATCCAAACGTAGTTTTCTTAGGAGCAAAACAAAGAGCTCCAAAATCGCGTCTGATAGCGCGAGAACTAGAAGCATCAGTGAAGCAAAGAGCAGAACCAGAAGCAGAGGCCATAGCCATAAAATGAATCCGAAGCAAAATCGTAATAGAGTTTTTTTTTTTTTTAAAGTAGGGAAGAAATGAGGAAACGTTAGAGAGGACAAGTGAAGAAGATGAAGAAGAACAAGAGCCTTTGGACAGTTCTCGTGTTATCCGCCATGAGAGGATAATAAAAAAAGTTGGGAAGAAAAACAAAAATGTCCATTTCTTCCTTCTTATTATCTTCAACGTTGGATCGCCATCCTTCTTGCTTTCCTTTTCCTTATTTTTCCCCACTTTAGGTAAATTATATTTAATTCGACCAATTTGGTGTTTCTTGTTTTTTTCTTTTTTAATTTCGCAACTCGACAAATATCTTCATCCAGCCTTATTGGTCCCAATTTTATCGGATGGGACATTCTACTGGTCTAAACTGTAAAATGTCTTTACCCGAGTAACTAATTTCGGTGACGTTATTGGGATAAAATGACGTCAACATTTTAAGTAATGGTTTTAACTTTTTAGCCCGTAAATGTTATATGTAAGCCCAATCAAATATGGGCCTAACGCTAAACTGATTATTCATGACGCAATTACGAATTTGCCACTTCCTCAGTGTTTCAGCCATTTCGTTGGTTCGTCAGATTTGCACCCAAATCCCTCCCTAAAACCTTTGACGGAGACGAGAGAGAGTGAGACGAACCGTAGAAATGTGGAAGTTCGCCGTGAGAATAGCCGCCGGGAATCTCAAATTCAATCGGAGATCGTCGATTCTAAACGATACTCTTTCTCATTTCCCAGCACCGGCTTCAGCGGCCGCGGGAACACTAATCCCGGGTTTAGATCATGCTCATCGCTGCTTTTCATCTTCGAAGAGCACGAAATCTACGATCACCAAGACGAAGAAAGCTGAAGGAAAAAAATCCAAACCTAAAGGCGGAGAAACTGGAGCCGCCGGAGCCGAGGACGGAGAGTTTGGTGCTTCCGGTGGGGATGACCTCGAGGCGGGTCGCGCCAAGAGGCTAGCTGATGATGAGAAGATTCCCTCTCTAGATGTTGGTCCTAATGGACGGCCTCTCTTCACTCCCAAAGATACTACACTTTCGCAGCTATCTCACAAGGATATCGGCTCCTACTTCAAATTCGAGTATCTCAATTCTCTCTTACCTCACTATATCTAGTCTTGTGTTTATATATCCAGATATTTTGTTATGCGTTATTGTGTATTGATGTTATGTATAATGTTGGGATGATAGTGAGGCAGCGTTAAAAGCAGTTATTCCGGAGGGATTGGCTTCAGGAATTGAAGATGAGTTTAGAGAATCATGGAGACCTGCTTTGCTTGTGAGAAAAACTTTCTTAGCTCTTAGGGATAATTACAGACGCATCGCTGATCCTCCCATGTGGCCAAGTGAGGGTAAAGGTGTGTTCTTTGTTAATCCTTTTTTTTTTCCTTTTAAGTTTATATCTAAGGTTTAAGATCATTTCTAAAGTAGAAGAGTGATCTCTTCTATGGTCAGCAGTTTTTTTTTTCTTAGAAGGCGGAGGAAGACTAATTTGTTGGTTAAGTCATTTCGCCTTATCCAGGATTTTTGTAACAGTATAGGTTTATTGATCATTATCTCTTTTGTTCTGAAAAGGTGTCAAAACTAAGAAGCAGATTATCTTGGATGGTCCTGTTAAAAGCGGAAAGAGTACCGCATTGGCGATGCTTGTTCACTGGGCACGTGACGAAGGCTGGTTAGTGTTGTATGCACCGAAAGGCCGTGACTGGACTCATGGAGGGTACTTTTATAAGAATCAACATACAGGTTTCTGGGACACTCCTCTACAAGCTGAGAATATTCTCAAGGCAAGATTTCACATGCCTCCTCTTTTGGAATGGGATTCCTCTGAGTTAAGAGCATTTCTTGATAAAGTTAACTTCTGTAGGATTTTGTCAAGTTCAATGAATCCCGGTTAAGACAGTTACGGTGCCACATCTATGATCCCATCGTCCTTGGAGAAGGTGCGGGTGTAGGATACTTGAAAGGAGCAGATACTATGCTGATTCCCGAGGATTCAACTTTGTATGATCTTGTGCAAATGGGGATTAAGAGCACTCATGCAGCTGTTAGTGTCGTAGTGCGACTTAGGAAAGAACTCTCGCTCGTAAAAGATGTACCTGTGTTGATTGCAATCGATCAAGTTAGTTCCCAAATTTCCCTTTTCTGATACCACGTTTCGTCAGTCAAATTAACACTAATGTTACTGGTGCTTGTTTCTTGTTGTTTACGTGTCTTTCAGTATAACAGTTGGTTCACATTTAGTGAGTTTGAAGAGCCTGTAACGCCACGTTCTTGCCGACCTATACATGCCAAAGAACTTACGACGGTGAATCTCTCTTCGGAATCCTATCTGAATTCAGACAAACAAATACAAACCCCAATTCACACGAATCATTTGGCAGGTGAATGCGTTCAGAAGCATGATGCATGATGATATGATGGTGGGTGCATTCTCACATTCAACAGCAGTAGGAAAACTACGTAAAGACTTGCCAGATGTTCCAGCTGGCGCTCGTGAGGATTTCCCTCGCTATAGTTTAGAAGAAGCAGAAGCTGTTTGCTATTACTACCTTCGGTGAGCTGCATTAAACAGCTTTTATGTCTTTACGTCATAATTACTCTCTAATCCTCTACTGATCATTACTATCAAATCACATCATTAAGTTTATCTGCTTGAGTACAATAAACAGCTTTCATGAACCCTCTATACGGTTTTGTTGCAGGCAAAGACTAGTTCGGCGTGAAGTATTCTCAGAGGAAAACTGGAAGAAGATATACTATTTGGCTAATGGAAATGGAGCAGAGATGCGTTGGTTAGTCCCTTTCATGCGTTGAGGAACAAACACAGAAACAAACAAAATAGATTGTTATGTTCGCCTTTGCTGGTGTTTTACGTTGTCCCATTAGTTTGGGAAAGAAACTCTTTTCAATGACCTTTCTGATTTAAAGGAAGATTTTTGTTATATGAGTTTGTTAGCTGAGGTTTTTGTTTCGTCTGTAAAAGACTTGTTTTGGACCTAAATTTCTTCATAATAAAATCAGTGCCTTTCATTTATTAGTTCTCCAATTGATCACTAATTCACAAAATGTCAAATCCACAAGATGATCATTTTTGTTGTCATCAAAGTAACAAAACATGACGAGATTGTACCTCACAAATCTGTTAATTGGTGAACTTTTTTTGCAGAATCGCATATTTAGTCGACGACAAGATAGAGTGTGTCACTTTTGTGATCAATAATGGTTAGAAAATAGCATAGAGCATAACATCAATGGAACAATTAGGTTTCAAAAGAACACCAAAGTGAGTTTTGTTTTAACATAACATACACAACACCTTGAGTAAGTACACAAGTTCTATCGAAAAAAGAATTGACTTGAAGAGCTATACAAACCAAAAGGCAAAGAAGATGAAAACAATTAACTCATCTTACGAATATGAAACCACACCCACACCCACCACCATCACCATCATCCTAAACGTAATAACTCGGAGAACAAAAAATATAGATTTAAAGAGAATAATGAAAGAAGACAAAAAAAAAAAAGAAACACTACAACCAAACCAACCACCCACCACCAAACGTACCCACCAGGAATTTTCCAGATTCATGAAAAAATATTTAATGAACCCACACATTGATGATGATGGATGATGATGGATGATGATGATGACGACTTAAACCGGTATTGCATCAACGTTAGATGAATCCTCACATCTCAATACGATTCCTTCAAGGCTTGTTGGGAATGTGCATCTCCTCCATTGCCAACCAGCTGCAAGTGGCTCAGATGACGGCACTATCATTAACACATTGTCGTTTCTCTGCACCACTCCAATCACACTCACAGTGCTTCCTTCTTTTATATACCTGATATTGAAACCCAATGGAAGAGATTCAGGATCGAAGATTAAGTACCTTTAGAATAGTTTATAAGAGTGTTTGTTCATTACCCTTCTTTAAGCCGCATTATTCGATCATCGCTCGATAGATTCTTCTGCCTTAACCACCGAACAAAATCTGGAGATGCTTGCTCGCTTCCGTGCTTGTAATCGATGACAACAGAATCATCTACAAGAGGTGTTACCTTTGCACCGTTTCCGGTTTTGACCAAGGCTCTGAGCCCTGACTGGAAATCCGATATGTAAAAGTCCACCACATGTCTCTGCCACATAAAAATACAACTTTACAAGGAAGTGTTTTGATGGGGTTGAGGAAGATAATATAACATTTCTTCTGTGAATATGAAAAATATTGGGGAATCACTAACCTCTGATGATCTCAGCCCCCATGTGAAGCAACGGTGTGAAGAATTCGCTGGTTTCGAACCCCATCCACGATACTCATATAGGCATGTGGATGTGTACACACATCTGGGAACTCTGTGAAAGGATGACTCAAGCGGCACATTACCACAAGTAACCACCTTCAAATAATAAAAAGAGAATCCAGGTCACAAACATAGCAAACCATGACTATATATGCATTCAATAGCTAATGCCACTCTTCTAAGACATGTTCTTTTACAACTATTTCAACTAAGTAATACTGGTCTGTTACAACTATCTCAGTATGCGTATGCAACTCAATCACATGATCATATACCCGATTTACGTTTCAGCCAAGCAAACATCACATGCAGAAGGAAAACCCACGAATAAGTCAATGAAGGGACCAATGCCTACTTACCCCAGTGACCTTCACGTATTGACCATTTTTGGCAGTTCTAAGGTCAGCATCAGGATAACGAGCAATGAAATCAGTGATACCACGTCTCCCCCAACAAATATTCCAAATAAAAAGCGCAGCAACAACTGTAAACATGATCGCGACAACGATGAGGAGAATTGGATTGTGAACTGCACCAAGAATGAAGCCTCCGGCAAGGAACCCCATGACAAATATAAGAACAACCAACCACAACACAGGCTTTGGGAAGCTCTTCAAGCAGGAAAAGTCATCTTGAGGACCAAGTGTAGTTACTGCCTGGTTGTGGACAACAGAAGACATATGTGTTTTCATCGAGCCAGAAGAGTCTAGAGGACCAGAAACCTTTCTAGGGGCCCCAGATGAATTCAGAGGTCCTGATGTAATAGGCCCAGAGGTTATGAGACCTGTAGCTGGAAGAACAGGGATAGGACCAGAGTTTTGCCGTGTTACGCCACCAGATTGCGGGCCAGATGATTTCTTTAAAGGCTCTCCGTGCTTAGATAAAGGTCCAGAATTCGTTTTCTTCATTGAAACTGACCCAGCAGAAGCTAAAGAACCAGACATACGACCAGCGGCAATAGGAGCGCCTGGACCTGATTGTGCAGTCCCTGCAAATGAGCCCGACCTTGAAGGAGCACCGGATATGGGACCAGACTTCCTTGACTTAGTCCCATCTGTTGGAATATCAAACATCTTCCCCAACTCTCCTGATTTCTTAATATCGCCCCCCGTGTAAGGCATGGCTACTGAGCTCATTGTTGGAGGCCTTTCTTTGGGTTGCTCAGGCCGACCAGACACGAATAGCCCATTGCCGAGCTGGTGAGATGGGTATCTCGAACCCATTTCAGCTACTTGAGAAGAAAACCAGAGTAAGTTGATCAATGAGCACCACAGACACTATGTTGAAACGTAATAGTATCAAATCCTACAGAAACAACACAAGAAGAAGTGAGAGACGACCCCAATGCATTCTGCTTCACATGTTTAACCACATTATAATAACGAAGAAAAGGACATAGTCAGACTGAGATTGTGACGGAGGAAACAATGGGAGATACCAGTATACCACAATCAAAAACACAAAAGAAACAGCTTCAAAGACCTATGCCGACAAGCTAGCCGCCAGAACGTGAGTTAATCAGAAAACCAGAATAGCCATTTGTACACCATCGTTAAAACTTAAAGTGGATCACTTAAAATACAATAGGCTCAGATCTCTAAGTAGAAACCAGCGATTTTTCCGTGAAATTTTAAAAAAAAGTTTCTCCGGATCGTCTACTCTAGTCTTTAGACAGAAAATCAGTAGAAAAAATCAACCATAAATCAAAAGCCCAGGAAGCCAAATCATAGAGAGCCTTAAAGAGCAATTCCATATACTCCCAGAAGATCGGTGGACTTTGTCATCGGAAAACTCAACAACATTTCGCATATTCATTCTCTCAGATTTCGAATTCGAAGAGTAAAACATCCAAAATCAGTAATAGCAGAATAATCGGAAATCTAAATCCCCAAAATAGCCCTAGCAATGCAGAAGAAATTGGTAAGGGAGAAAACAGAAAAAAGGAAAAAATGGATAAACCCCAAAAATGAAAACACGATCGCATAAGAAAAAAACCGAATCTAGTAAGGAAAATGACTAGAGACGATGGGGTCAATTCGCACCTGAGAGAGTGTAAGTTTCCGAGAAAATGTAGCTTCGCGCGGATAAATCTATCAGGAAAAGTAGTTGCTATTCTGGGAGTGACAGTAGAAGACGAAACGGCAGCAATACTGAGGGAGCTGAGATCCCATATCCGTGAGAGCTCTCTTCTCCGTCGTGTGGATCTCGATCTCGATCTCTCTTTGAGCCGCAGCAACTGATGAGTTGTCCAAGTCTCTCTCTCTCCTCTCTTTCTCTCCCTCTCTCTCTCTAAAAGGGCTAAGTTTTTTTATTGTCCACCAAACTGAGAAGGAAGAAGAAACACTCTGTTCCTTTTTTTTTTTACAAAAGAGCACAACCAAAAAAAATGGAAATAGTAAGAAGATTTAAATTCGAAAATAATGTTTTCAATGTCGACACTACAAAACTGTATTTTATAATCATTTAAAAGATTTAAGGGTTTAATCATTACATAGAAATACGTTACATGTCCATGTATCTTCTTCTTTCCACCTAATCCTTGTCCAATTCGTTGGTCTTTCTATTCTAAAATCTACATAATACAATTTCTTTTATAGCAACGTTCTTGCTAACTTTATTAAAACCAACAAACACAAAACGTTCTTGCTAACTCAGGGCACAAGCCAAATTTTTTGTTATGTTTATGTAATTATGTTACTATAGAAAGAATATTATTATGATTTATAATCTTTTGTCCAATTTTTCAATCAGAAAAGTATATGCAGTTTTCTTATTAAATAAAGACACATCCTAGCTCTGTTTGAGCCTGTTCTGCAGTGTTTTCATTTGGTTTTCTTTGTTTCACTTCAATTTGGTGATTGAATTTGTCAATGTTTCGTTTTCGTTGTTAAGTCGGCCAATAATTTTTGTTCCCTCGCGCCTGACGTGTTATTGGTTAGTTTTTATTTTGTCGATTTGGTTAATTATTGGAAGTCTTTCTTTCAAGCAAAGTAAAATTCGAAATAATGATTGGTCACAATCGACTGGTTAGTAGATCTATTACCCCTTAATCAAGCATATGTACCTTATAATTTCTTTTAACCAACACTTAATTATTTCGGTTTACATCACCTATATAAAATTTTGATCAGCATTTTATTATATAAAAATTTATGAGCATTTTTCCGGAACATGTGATTTCATTCATCAGTATGCATTATGCAAAACCTTAACGCGCGAAAGACACGTAATAGCTAATAATGTAACTCATTTATAATGATTGAAGCAATACGATACATACATTAAAGATCGATATTTTTTTATTGCGAAATAACCTAAGAAAAGGTTTAGTACAATTTTGAGCCTGGCTCATAAATATAATTTAGAAATTGCTCGAAATATATATTTTTTAAAAAAAATAAACGTGGTTACTTGTCTTGACGCTGTAGAATGTACTCAATGTAGTCGTTTAACAATTTTTATTTCATCACCAAAACTTAAAAATGGCAAACCAATTATTTTTCTGAGGATTTAATTTATAGTTTAAACTCGTCTTGGGCATAAAATCAGAACTGAGACCCGAACCGGAACCGACCCGAAATAATCGGTTCGGTTCGGTTTCGGATTTGAGATTAATACCTATTGGATCCTGGTTTGAAGATCCATGGCTATCGGGTCGGTTCCGGTTCTTACCTGATAACCGAATATCCGAACCAAATATCCGAAACATAATTTTGATGGATTTTCTCGATTTTTAATGGGTTTTAATTTGTGGGAAATTTGGGGGCTTTACCAAATTAAAAAGAAATAAAGGGAGTGGGCTTTAATTGAAACCAAACCCAATATCCAAAATTGGAAAAAAAAAAAAATATATAACAAAAGCTTAAAAAATTTCTAAACCCAAAAAGATAAAGAAATCGACTAAATTGAGAAAACCTAATCTCTCTCATCTCTAAACACGACCCGATCCACTGATTCACCAAGCTGGAATCTGCAAATCCGAACAGCCGACGCGTGTCGCCGGCTCCACCGTCTTTTGCATCCATAAACCAGCCAGAGGTAAGTATCTTCCTCTTCTCTTATTGTAATTCCCAAATCGAATTTAGGGTTTTAAAAAAAAATGAAATCGGTTTGGGGTTTAGGGTTATCATGATGAAATGAGTTCATTTCATCATCTTTTTTTACGTTTACACTATGAAATTGTCAACCTATACTTGAAAATCGTTTGAATCATGATGAAATCGATTTAGGTTTTTTTTTAAAAAATGAAATCGATTTGGGGATTTGGGTTTTTGGTTGTGAAAATATGAAATTGAGTTCATTTAATCATCTATTTCGACGTCTATACTACGAATTTCTCATCACTCTTCTCGAAATTGGATTTAGGGTTTTAAAAAAAAAAATGAAATCGATTTGGGGATTAGGATTTTTGGTTGCGAAAATATCAAATTGAGTTCATGTAATCATCTATTTGGACGTTTATACTATGAATTTGTCATCTCTCTTGGAAATCGGATTTAGGGTTTTTAAAAAAAAATGAAATCGATTTGGGGATTTAAGGTTTTCGGTGCAAAAATATGAAACTGATTTGGGGATTAGTCTTTTCTTTACCTTTATTTAACAAATAGAGTTCATTTACCTTTGTTTTTTTTTGTGTTTGTGTTAAATTTTTTTCTTAACAAATCGTTTCATGTTTTTCTTTTTTTACAGGGTTTAGGAGTCGCAGGTCATCTTTCAGGAGTTGCATCTCTCGCTTCTACTCTTCTATGTCTGTTTCCATTTTTCATTGAGTCTGAATTTAGACAATGTTATTGATTCAACACTTCTAATCTTCAGAACTTGTTTTTAGTTTGGTTATTGATTCGGCACTTGTTCTTGTATGAACTTGGTTTAAGATGATGCAGAACTTATTTTTATTTATGTATGAACTTCTCTTTTAAGTTTGGAACTTGTTATGAAAAATATGAACTTAGATGATTCGGTTTTTTTTTGTGATTTCGGATACAATTTTGCTGATTTCGGGTATTTTACCCGGTTTAGGAATCGAAAATTTAAAGAACCAAAATTTTCGGGTAATTTACGGTTCTAAACTTTAATATCCGAACCGATCTGAAACCGACAGGTACCGAACCGGAACCGAACCGAAATTATTTTGGTACCTATTTGGTTCAAACCTTGAAAACCGAAATACCCGAAACATTTCGGATCCGATCCGGAACCGAACCGGATACCCGAAAACCCAGGGCGAGTTTAAACAATCAACACGGTATAAAAATATCTCCTAAGTATGTTTTTTCTTTTGTCGATCTCCTACGATGTTAAACAAGTACATATAGATATAAGAACACGAGTCTTCTATTTTCGAATGAAAAAAATAAATAAATACCAGTTGTTTATCATACGAATTCTTACGGATGTAATAATACGACGGAGTAGGAGATCAATTCGATCGGGTAAAAACCGACTGTTTCGGTTAACTGATATACCGGTGCGGTCTGACTCTCCGACATGAAAGAAAAAACGTAATAATCTGAAAGTGTAAAACACCACTTGTCCGCGTCTCAATGTTCCAATGAGCCACCTCCTTTACGTTCGTCATTCTTGTCGTTATCTGATACACGAGTTAGACACGTGTGATGTGTCCCCACCACCTCTTACTTGCCGACTCAACTGATGTAATATTTTGTGTTCCACAAGTTTGATCCCTTCCTAGTTCCTACTCTTTACCGCATTATTTAAAAGCAGAGAGAGAGAAAACAGAAAGTCACCAAAACGAAAGATATTATTATAACCATGGCCGGAAAATTAAAGTCTGTGCAAGTTTTTCACCTGCTATGCGTATTTTCCGTCGTATTATTCCTCTTCGTATTCTCAGCGAGTGTTAATTCCAGTGACGTTGATTATCAGAGAGCGGTGCCGCCAGAAGATAAAACGACGACGGTTTTGCTATCTAAAATAAAACAGTCCGGTAACAGTTACTGGGCGAAACTCAAAGAGACTTTAGGTCGTGGACACTCCCGCTTATTTCCTCCAAACATAGAGTAAGTAGATCCTCGATCATTTGAGTTTATCAGCTTGGTCGGATTTTTGTTTCATGTTTTGTTTTGCTATTAACTCTCTCTGTCTCTCTTTTGGTTGCCTTTGTGTAGTTTTAGGGGAAAAGATGATGCGTCGATGGGAGCAGGAGAAAAGATGAAAGAGGCGGTCACAAGGAGCTTCGAGAATAGTAAAGATACGGTGGAGGGAGCTGCCAGATCAGCGGCGGAGGTGGCATGTGATGCGGCGGAATCGGTGAAAGAAAAAGTGAAGAGAAGCGTTTCCGGCAGAGACACGACGACGCAGCAGAAGTCAGAGGGTACTGAGGAACTTTGAATACGTCGTCGTTTAGCTCAATGGTGTGTTTATTCGATTTGGTATCTAAACGACACAGTTTTCGGAGGAGAATCGCCACGTCTCATGCTTGTTTGATTTTCTTTTGTCGGCCGACTGAAGTATCACATGCTTTTTCTATGTACAACGACCACGTCACATGTCTCATTGCTGTTCTTTGCGGATATATAAATATATTTTAGATTCTACTTTTCTTTCTTTCTTTTTTTTTTTGGTTAAATACTTTCTTTTCTTCAGCAAGTTAATGGAAATAAAAATTAAAAAGGATTTTATAGTGTCATTTTTTTTGTATCAGTTTTAAGATCTTATAATCAAAATAATTACAGAGTTGTGGTTCTGCCTAAATCATTGACCCAAATAGCTTTCTTTTTTGCTTTCCTGTTTTTTTTTGCCAATAAGCACAAATATCTTCCTTGCGAAAAAAAAGCACAAATATCTTCCTTTTTTTTGGCGTGCACAAAATATCTATTTTTGTCTTAGCCAAAATATCCCATCTATAACTATAATAAAAGGTGGAAATGACTAATTATATATATATATAATTGAATTAGAATGACCAACGAGTCCTATTTTATGAGATGCGGGACAGCGATACAAAACCGCATTGTAATTAACATGACATATTGACATATTGAAACGATCTTCTATATCAAAATCAAAATATTATACTTTTGAATCTTCTAGTCACAAAAAGATGAAATTAGATATCATGCAAATATAATTAAAATGCTAAATTTGGATTCCAATGTTTTTTTTTTTCATCTTTGGGAGTACACCACTAAGGTAAGGTGTTAGACAAATTGGAATAAGAACGAACTGTAAAAGGAAAAATAAATAAACATTAGCCAACAGAACCTGACTCCCTTTAGGGGTGAACGATATCGATATGTTCTATAATCAAAAGTAATGATTTTTCTCACCAAGTTAATTTCGTACGTCGAATTATTCAATTCCACTTTTTTAAAAAGAACAATCGGTAACACTTAAACTCGATTGAATTTCGTCTAAAAATGATACGCCCCTAGGATAAAATCTAACAATGGGCTTCCTATTTCCGTGCCCTGGTTCCCATTTTAATAAGACAGCTATTTCGTCGCAGACAATAAGAAGTCGGCTGAAAGTACACACAAAACAAAATAATTCGTGAATATTTAACAATTATTGTAGGCAAACCTAAATATCCCAACAAACAAAAAAATTACGATAAAAGGGAAAAAATGCTCTTATCCATTTATCCCGAAACCCAACTCGTCTTATCTTAATTACCGCGTTGATCAGAAACCGTCGTCGTCGTCTCTTTATCTCTCTAGATGGCTCGTTCCCTCTCTCTCTCACTTTCTCTCTCTAAAGGCCGCTTCACCGCAGCTGCAGCCTCTCTCCTCCCTTCATCAAACCTCGTATCCTTCCGATCTCAATCCTCCGATCGTCGGGCTAGCCACGTCGGCGATCTTTACGAAATCGACACCGCCGCCTCTCAATCGCCGTCGGATCCTTTGATCCAGAAGCTCGAGGACGCCGTTCACCGGATATTTGTCCGCCGATCAGCACCTGATTGGCTCCCGTTTGTTCCCGGTGCGTCGTATTGGGTCCCGCCTCCTGGATCTGGATCTCAGTCTCATGGGGTCGCACAGCTCGTCGCGAAGCTGGCCAATCCGTTAACCACCGAGGAATCTCTCTCCACCAATTCCTCTCACGGATGGCCTTCCTCTGATTATTTCCTTAAAGGTTTGTATTTGTTTGATCGTACCCTCGTTTTTGGTTGGGTTGTGATGGAAAATGCGATTGTTGTGGTTATTTTGCGACTTATCCGTAGAGAGATCCCATAGTGATTTAATTTTTTTTTTCGGAATCTTTAAATCGGCTAAACTTTTCAATCATCCTTAGCTAGCTACCCACTAAATTGGTATTTGAATTTGATATAGTTTTAAAAAGGAGATTGAATCGAAAGAGCATTCAGGTGATTAATCTAGTGGCAGAAATTCTAGAAAACTTGACATTTTGGTTTCAGATGATTAATCGAAAGAGAATCTTATAGGCGAAAGCGTTGTGGTGGACCAGAACATAGATTCATTTGTAGTTGTGTGGTTTGAGAAATGTGTCCCTGTTCTAATTGACATATTATTTTTTGGTCCGTAGGTTTAGGTGCACAACCTCAATTGATGAAGACAGAGACCGAGACGACTTCAAATACTGAGTCTCACTCCGAGGATGAGGAAGTGTAAAACCGCACTAGTCGTCGAATCAACCGGCGTTTGGGGTGAGTTGTTTACCTTTCATGACCTTTATTGGATGATCACATTCACTTGTATACATATGAAATCCTTAAAGAATCGGAAGTTCTTATGTGTTTGTTGGTTTTTTTTTGTGTGATAGAAGAGAGGTTGACGTTAGCAGGCCCTTTTGGATCTGTAGATTGTCAAGGACACAAGATGGGACAATACTGACGACAGAACCGAGTGCAAAGACGCCATATAGACGACCAGGTTTCTCGTGACACAAAAAAAGAAAAAAAAAAAAAAAGACGAGCAGGTTTCTTTACTAATCCCAAAATGTGTAAAATTCGAATAAGAGTAGTTGTTTTAGGCTTGGAGCAATTCCCTCTTGTTTAATGTAATCGTCACGTTTTTAAAAAGCTCTTGTATATATATTTCTGTGTCTTTGCTCTTTCAATTATTTAACATGTTTATCTAAATATCTAATATATGTAGCAGCAATATAGGTACAGTTTCTAGGCTACGGAATGAAATGACTCTATTGAATGAAAACGATGAGTGAATCAACTGGAATACAGTCGACAAAACAATTACAAACTCACTAGCTATCGAAACTTTATATCATGCATTTCCCTAAATTCAGTTTCAACAGAACCAGCGTATCTCTTGGACTAGAAAAAGACTGGAACTGGACCACCATTGCAATATTTTGTTGTTGTTATATAAGCTATTTTTTTTTTCTTAAAAGACATGCCTATATCTGCATGTATAAGAAAGTGTTTTCTTGTGCAAATTACATGTTATACCAATACCAGTTTCTATACTACTGCTACAATACAAATCAAATACACCAAGCTAAACAAATATATGAAATTAGATATTTCACTTCTATAATACATAAAAGAATTACAGCGCCAATGTATACAATTACACGGTTTGGACAAAAATCAGCCAGCAGAAACAGCTAACTCATCGCATGAATCAGAAACATCAAAAACGTTCTCCTTCCATTTCTCAAAAACCGATCTAAATTCAGAGAGATCTCTGCGATACGGAGACAAGAGATAAACCACCTTAAACTTAGTATTAGGATCCAACTCGACTCCCTCCTCAATGCATTCCCACAGAATCTTTTTCAACTTATCTCTGTCTTTCTCCTCGCACAAACCAGATATAATAGTCCTATAAGTCCGACGATTCGGCATAACCCCATCTTCTTTCATTTTGGACAAGAAAGAACAAGCTTCATCGATCCTTTTGGCACGCACAAGTCCCTTTATTGCTACTGTATACGACACAACATCTAACGGATATCTCTCCAAGATGCATCGGTTAAACAAACGAATCGCGATACTGTATTTACCAACCTCTACAAGACCGTCGATTATAGCAGTATGAAAATGAGCATCGACACGGATGTTCCTTCTGATTATATTTTCGTACATATTAACGGCGTCGCGAGCTGACGCACCTCCTAGACAAAGCGCAGTGAGAAATCCAGTATATGTATAACAATCCAAAGCCAAATCTTTGTTAGACATGATGCAGAAGACTTTCAACGCGTACGACATGTGACCAAACTTGGAGAAACAGTTTATGAGCGAGTTTCCAGTTACTAAATCTAGTTCCGTTCCTATACTATCGGCGATCTTAGGAAGAAGATCGAACTCCCTAGACAAACATAGACTAGACACCATTGAAGCAAAAGTGTAACGATCAGCCACAAGTTTCCTTTTTTTCAAACTGGTGAAAACGTTACGAGCTTCTTCGAATCTTCCGAGTCTTGTGAATGTGTGTATCATCACATTGCAAAGAACAATATCTGGAGCTAAGCCTTTAGATTGTACTGTACTTAGCACACTAAACGCTTCGTCAACCATTCCAAAATCCATAAACCCTTTGATCAAACTGGTATACGTCACGAGATTCGGGGAGCAACAGCCGGTCTGAATCATCTTGTTGAACAAATCAACCGCCTTTTGTAGCTCTCCTGAACGAATAAACCCACTAACCAACATGCTCCAGACATGAACAGACACAGAGATTCCACTACAAATCATCAATCCAACCACTTGAAACCCTTGACCGACGCAGCCTGTTCTACAAAACACTCCAAGAACCTGCCCAAATCTCTCGCTGTTGGGATAAAAACCTTGTGTAATCATCATCTTCAAAACTATCTTAACCTTAACCAAATCCCTACTTCTGCACAAATGACTCAACGCAATGTCGAAACTAAAGAAGTTCCGAACACGGATTCCTTGGAAAACTTCCATGGCTCGATCAACGAGATTGTTTTTGAAAAGAACATCCATCATCATATTCATGGCACGAGTATTAGGCACATATCCAAAACTATTCATGCCTTTATAAACCTCGATAGCCTTATCATATATATGACCACGCCAAAAGATTTCGAGCAATAGCAATAAAACTCGAGGCTTTATTGCACAACCGGATAGTCTCAATCCCTCTATGATTCCATCAATGCTCTTGTATTGCCGAGCTAGTTTCTCTACAACACCAACCATATGCTCAAAAGCTCGATCATCGTGGAAGTAATTGTTCTGCCTCGCGCACCAGAAGAAGAAATTCAGAGTTTTTAGATCGGAAGGGGATTCTCGTAAACGAGAATACACATCATCGTGGGTAAGTGGTCTCGGAGCAGCTCGACGAGGGCCAGCGGTATTTTCTCGAGAAAACTCACTGATTTCCTTTACTTTCGGTGAGAAGTGAGTGTGAATCGAAGAGAAACTGAGTGTGTTAATGATTTTCCTCCTCTGCTTTACCCAGTTGCATCTCCATAGCATCTTACCCTCCACGCTGAGATGCGAACCATGAAACAAATTCTTTGAGAAATTGACTACTCTCTGAGAAACCAAATTTAGATCTTGAAAGAGAAGCGCCGGGAAAGTCACCGTGAATCAGGAAGCGGCCAAGGGTTTTGGTTGGGTAGGAATAAGTGACGAGGAACTAAACCCAGCTTGTGACGGAGCTGCGAAGGCTGGTAAGGGTTGACTAAACCGGACTCGGTTCGGTAATTTTGGAAACTGATGCACTCCGGTTTTGCGAATTTACTGAAGGTTTTATACTTATCTCGTAATTAGCTAGCTACAGTCCATGGATAATCATTTTCTTACAACTTACAAGAGAATCCATCAGGTCACATTAACAATATGAATTTATCATCTATATTAAACGCTATATTGCATCATTTTGCCTAGGACCATAATCAGTAAAATTTGACTATCTTTGATTATGGTAAATGAAAAAATATACATTTCGAACCACGCAATTTACGAGTGATGTGTATAGAAATGTAACTATCCAAAGCTATATGAACATGTGAAGGTTGGACAGAATAAAAAAAGAGAAAGAAGAAAACAATTTTAGACAGATTGTGATTTGTGAGTGAGACGGAAGATCACAACTCCTAAGGTGCTCCTCGTTCCAAAATCTCTCGGTTTGTTCGTTTCGATACAGAGTTTCCGGTAGCCTGAGTATTCTGACAGAGCATGTAGAGACAGAACAAACAGAGTCCTGTTTCAGACAGAAGAAACAACTGTCAGAAACAAGTATTACAGATTACTTTACATACACTAGATACGAGAAAGAAGAAGAGTCTCCAAAAAGTATGTCCAAAGCATCAGGCGTTTCGCTTCTTTTCCTTCATCTTTATCAGATGCTACAACACTGTCTTAACATTTTGGGACCCGTATATGGCCTACCTGCGTAAGCAATGGTGACACCAGATATGATTCGTCCAAGAGCTGCCAAGAAGTAAAGACAGATCAGGACCTGAAAGAATGAAACATCAGAAGATAACACAAATTTAATTTACAGTATTTACAGATGGAGACCATTTACAGCTTAGTCAATGGTCTTAAACATCCTGGTCTTCATCTGTAAATGCTCGAATTTAGTTTTTGACTTTTGCGATTCAGGCACTCGGATAAACAGGTGATCTGAGAGAAGTATCTCTTCTAATATAATAACCTAGGAGACCAGACTGAGCTTACCTTTACAAATAGCCTCTTGTCATGACCCGTTGCTGCAACTCGCAAAACGGATTCAGCTGCTCCAACAGTATTAGCTAAGCGTGCAACGATGTTACTGGCTGTATCCTGTGATATTTGCCATTCTAATGGATCCACAGGCACCCTTCACACAGAAAAAAATGTGAATTTGTAGATCATCTGAATGCAAGAATCTTTCAAACAGTGCACAGTGATCATCAAATCAATAACACTTTTAGCAAATCAAACAAAAAAAGAACCCTTTTCGTGTGGTGAACACGAAGGAAGTGGGCATTGCAAAAAGAAAGAAACTTTAACATCCACACGACTATTAAGACAGAAAAAGCAAAGTCAATTTGACAGATCAAGCAGCCAACAAAACTAAACTTGAAAATCCAGACGATAATGTGAAACTAAAGACCGCAAAGCACACTTAAATTGAACAGATCAAGCAGCCAAAACAAAGAATTTCAAAATTGTCGGCCCCGATCGGCAAATCAGGGACCGGAGACAAACAAATCCTGATAGTCGAAACAGCAAAAAACTGCAGCAAAACCGGAAACTTTAGGGCGAAATGAGAGAATCTTACGAGACATTGAGTTGACGAAAAAGAAGACCGAGAATGGCGAGGGAGGATAGTAGAACGAGGAGAACATCGGAAAAGAGGGAGAGAAGAGTCGCGTTTCGATTAGCGCAATGGTGATACACAAGCGTCCCGCTTATCAGCAATCCTATCGCCTTCCCCATTTCCCCCATCTCTTCTTCTCTCAGAATTTACCGGGAATATTTTTGTTCCGACGATCATTCTTAGAAACCGATGAAACACCTACCAGCTTCGGTTTGGGTTCCAATTTACTTAGTCGACTTTGGTTCAGACTCGATTTTGACTTGGGTTAATAGATAACCCGTTATATTCAACAATGGTTCAGTTTGATTCTATTTTGCAACCAAGCGAAAGTAAATCATCAATATCGGTTTTAACTCAGAACCGGCAATTTCGAAAGTTTTCACTTCGTTGGTGGGATGAACCGGGCCTGTGCAGTAGTGCAACACACAGGCGATTCGCGAAAGCCCAGATAGCAAGCTATCTTGATGGGCCTTCTCCCTACAAAAATAGAGTTAATATCACATGGGCCGTGGCAACCATATATCAGATATTAAACTGATAAGAACAGATACTACACTTATCTTAGCCAAAAGGCCGAGAAAGGTATGATTTGGAATGAGGATCGAACGCGGCTTTTATATCAATTGTTTAAGAATTAGCCAATCTTCGATTAGCGATGTGGGACCAAAAACAAACTCGACACATTCACCGCCTAACTTTTTTTTTTTACCGCACGTGTTGCACGTGACCGATGTACGAGTGTAGGATATGGAAACGAATTACAAGATCATGACCCGACTCTGCAAAAGTTTTAGATCTTCTACAACTCTTGTCATTCGTACGTGCATCCTCTGGCTTTCAGTCGTGCCCACTCTTCTTCGTCTTGGTTCACTGGTCTGGTCACGATCTCTCTCTGTTTCTATGTTTCTGTTTTTTTCTTTATATAAATAATTGAACAAGTAGTTGAACTGTTCATCGCTTTCTATAATACTGTATATTCGAGCGTTTGACGATTTCTTATCTGCTGTTTGGTTGGGATCTCGGTATTTCAGGAGTTGGATTTTTGTTACATTTTCTAATCGGATTTGAGTCTTCGTCAAGCCAAAATGCCGGCGTTTTAAATTCACTACCTTTGAGGATTCGGAGAAGGAGAGCGAGTATGGTTACGTTCGCAAGGTTTGGTTTGTTCTTCCTCTATCTATTTGTTTCGATGATGGATACATCTGCGCGGTAATTTTGACAAGAATAAACTTGTTTTTGTATGACTGAATTTGTTGATTCTGCCACTCGTTCGGGAATTTTTATGGTGAAGGCAGTTTCTTACTTTCTTTCGAAATCAGATTGCTATTACATTACATACTATCAAAATGTAGGTTTCAGGTCCTGTTGTTGTGGCTGATGCTATGGCTGTTCTCTTCTTTTGTTTCTTGCTATAACCTTTTTTCTAGTATTCTCCTCTAATCCTACATTTAGAGTGTTGTCTATAGACATAGGATCCCTTCATTGATATTTGGATACTTTATTTTTAATCAGTCTACGAAGAAACTGCTGGATTGACGGTTAATGATCCTGTTCTTCGAACACACAAGCTTTGTAGTGTCTTCATGTTGGCTATTTTAGCTTGAGATGGTGTCTCGGTTGCAGCTAAATTTTACATTTCTGCTTGGATTTACAGCCACTATCAGTGGAGCTTGGTCCAGGAATATTAGGAAATATCTTTGATGGAATTCAGGTTCAGTTGGAGTATTTAGAAAATTAGATTGAATACTTAGAGATTCTATTTTCTCAGTATTGCTAAATTCATTTTGTTAATATCACAGAGGCCTTTGAAGACTATTGCAAAGCGATCTGGTGATGTATACATCCCTCGTGGGGTGTCTGTTCCAGCTCTTGACAAAGATTGTCCTTGGGAGTTCCAGCCTAATAAATTCGGTATGGTGTTTACTGGACATAATTCTTGATTGAGGTCTAACTTTCTTTGTAACTTGATGCTAAACTGAACTCGATTGGTTGCAGGCGAGGGCGACACTATATAACTGGTGGTGACTTGTATGCTGTAAGTTTGCTCAATGCTTCCATTATCTTGTCTTCGCAAGCGATTACATTTTACATTTGCCTTTCCCATATGTTTTCACATTACTCTGCAATGTAGTTGGAATGTAGGTTGGTTTAGCAAATAAATCTATAGATCTAAACTTGAAAGTTTTGGTTATTTGAACTACACAGGTCTCAGAAGTTTGAAGATCCAGCTGAGGGTGAAGATACACTTGTAGCCAAATTCAAGAAACTGTATGACGACTTGACTTCTGGATTCCGAGCCTTGGAGGATGAAACTCGATAAGCAAGCAGTTTCCGGAGATCGAAAGTATTCGAGCCATCATCACAATGGAATTGATATTGGGTCGATGAATTTAGGTTTTGAGCCAAAAACACTACAGTATGTTATGTTGCCTCTGTAGACTGTAGTATAATTGATCTCTCTTTCTCTCTTTATTAATTCATTTCTTTTTTGGCACAGACGAAAAGATATATAGATTTGTGTACTCAAATACTCAATAAGAGATACCCTCGAGACTCAACCTTACGTATACTAATGTCTTTGCAGATATCATTAATTTGCGTTTATATTTTGAAAAAAAAAATGAATTTTCACTGGGTTTAGTCCAAGTTTTGATGCTTACCCATGATATGATGCTCACGACAAATAATTTACAAATTGAAAAATGCAGAAGATATAATTTATAAGCCTAGAAAATGTGTCTTTGGCATTAGAGAGTGGAGATCACACAATTGAAAAGTTATAGGAAGATAACAGGAATCCAAAAACAGTGTTATTTAACAAAGCTAAATTGATAAGCAGAGTATCATCAAACAAAGCCAGCGACGAATAATATTAACCAGGTCCGACTTTAGGGATATCGTAGTGCTCACTCATGTTAGCCAGATACTGATTGAAATCCTCAATCCTGTTACGATGAGACTTGTTTGCTTCCTTGGCTAGTTTCTGCACATCCAGTCTCTGTTTCTGCTCTATGTACCGTCTTTCTGCAGGCGTTAAATGATCATCATCGTGCTGCACTTTCGCATCCTCGCTCGCTTTTTCACTCCTACCCGCTTCTTCTTCTCCTTCAGACAATTTACCCAATGCTTCTGCGTTTTCTCCTATAACCGATAAACAAACATATCAATTTTCTTCTGTCCATGAATGTTAAAAACCAGCTTAGTCAATGGTTATGATACTTTTGAGGAATGGAGCGGTCATGTCTACCTTCTATGAGTTCGTGTTCAGTAACTTTAAGAGCTAGTTCTTCTTGTTTCTTCTGTTTCTTCTTCTTCTTTACTCCACCTGCCTTCACATCTAAAGCCTTCCCTTTTAGCTTTAGCTTCCCACCAATAACATTGTCATAAGCCGACATCTCTTGGCTACTACTAAGAACACAATACCACGCCACATAAATTCAGAAATGCAACTGCAAACTGGAAACAATTGAGTTCAAGACTGAAATTTTTTCATTGATGGGGTAAAGAGACAGACTTTGAGGCACATTGTTCAGTAAGAACACAATACCACAAAACACAAGTTTAGATTTTACAAACTGGAAGCCAAAAACTACCCACTTAGCAAACGGAGAGGTGAATCATTAGAAAACATAATCAAGATTCATATTACAAGGTTCCAAGATCTCTCCGTCAACAAGCTCAAATTAACAGACATCAACGATTAATTGGCTAACCCTTTCCTTGGTTTCCCGTGAATCAAGCAGAGATCCTAGAACTAGGCTTCAAACACAATCCTAGCTTATCAATCAAACAAGTAAAGAGCCATTAAACAACCCAGATGTTTCGCAAAGGAGCCATAGTAGATCTATAGTGTATACCCTAACAATCAACAGAGAACCCATAGCTGCGAAAAACAACAGAATCCAGAGTCACAAAAATCGAAGCAGAAGCATGAGCTAAAACTCAAAACCCTAATCAAATCAATCACCTGAAATCGAAAGAGGAGCAGAGCGTGAGAACGAGAAAAAGTGGAGATTTTTAATTTTTCTAATTTTAAAAAAGAGAAGTAAATGTTTTTTCTATTATATTTTCTGCGCAAATCATCCAGTCGGTGGGTTTCCCGCCCCTATGAAACCCAATTCATTAAAGGCCCAATATGATTTGTTTTCCGACCAAATAAATGACAAAAACGTTGTCGTGTAGTTCTTTTTCTACGCTCGCTTTTTTAATTTCCCTCTAGGAAAAAAAGAAGAAACAAAAATAAGGGCTTTCAAATTGCATCTCCTCTCGAAATCCAAGTACACTGTCGAGGAGACGAATAATTTCGACTTAAAGGAATATCAATTTGGTTCTCCTTCCTCTGTTCATCGGAAACGGCAATTTCCGTCGCCGGGAATTGTGATTACGCTTTCGTCCGACTTCCTTTTTCCTCTCTCCGTGGTTTAAATTGAGAGGGTAATTAATATGTCGAGCAAAGTCTCCTCGAGTGGAGAGCTCTTGAGCCGGTGGAGGAGAATCGAGGGAGACGAAGAGGAGAATGAAGATTCTGATCCTTCTACAGTGCGGCGTCTTAACCAGCGCAAAGAACAATGGTTCTTTCTATATCTCTCCCTTGCTCTGATGGTTCACTGTTAAACTGAGTGTAATCCGAAACAGACATAATTCCAAGCTGATGTTTTCTTTATAATCTTTAGGTTTACAGATGCATTCACTTTGCTGATATCTTTGCCGAAAGATAATCATATTTGGTGTGGGTATGGCGATGTAATGGGACCTCTTCTCGAGACTTTCTACAATTTCTTCAAAGATGATAGAAATGATTCACCTCTGAAGGTCTTGTGGAAGAGAATCTCTGAAGAAATGCGGCTTTGTGCACAATGCATTTCTCAGCACCATCAGACTCAAGAGATGTATGAAAAAGAGTATGAGTGCGCTTCTGTTGGCCCACTACTTGCTGTGTTGCGAAAACTTGATGAGGAAAGGGTTACTAGTCACTTGCAAGAGATCAACTCGAAAGTAGAGAAAGGAACATATGATCCAAATCTTCATCATTCAGAAGTTGTTTGTGTAATGTACGAGGTACTTTTGTATTTGTGATCTGAGATCTTGTAACTTTGTTTTTCCTTTTACTCGAATTATTATTACTGGATTGTATTTCATTGCTGATTTATTTTGCGTTATCAACTGACTCTGATGATTCGATTTGTAATTCACATGCCATGTGATATCTATAGATCCTAGGATTGCCATCTATTAACTGTGAGCCTTTGTTTTGGTGTCAGGTTTTGATGTTTCCGTTCTTCTTTGACGATATGTCTTTATGCGCTGAGTTTGAGAAATTCATTGAGTCAATCGACAACATTCATGAGCTTGCATTTGCTGAGAATCAAGAATTTCCGGTATATTCATATCCCGTAGAGAGCTTCTTGTGTTTCCTACTAAACTAAATCTCTCTGACTTGGTATATTTTCGTATTTCATCCTTTTTAGGGTGTGTATGCACTACTTTTTCTTAATAGAAGGGTGCGTGTGATTGGTTATCGCTTAGCAAGGGCCATGGGGAAGTTGAGGTTTTTTTTTTTTTTTCACATTTGAATTCATAGATTTAAGTAAATTCATAACTAATATATTCTCAGGACTGTATTCAGTGCTTGTGAAACTTTAATTGCTATAATGTATGTGGTATTACCTGCTGTCATGGCAGGTCAGCAACCCAGTTGGAACGCATTCAGCCATTGCTCAAAAAATTCATTGGAATTCTGGAGATGGAGGGACTGCCTTCTGCATCGCAGGAACCAAGGCCGAGGATTTATCTAGACCGTTCATCCATATGGCTTGGGATGACATCATTGTAAGAGTTAGTGAGTAATCTCCTCGTATAGTCTTTTTTCTGATAATGTGTTTCAATATTTTCTGATTCCTTAATATTTTCTGCTTCCTAAAGGCTTGAGTTCTTAGAAGGCCCTGCTTTTGAAGAAGGGATATTGGAGCCTTATCCCATTTTTGTTGATACAGTGTTGAATCATATAAGCGGGGATTCACCTGAATTTTCACTGGCTGTTAATTGCCTGAAAGAGCTATTTAAGACACTTGGTATGGTAACTATGATCGTTATGCAAAGTACTCTGTTTATCTTGAAGTCCATAGTAAGTTAGATGACACATTCTCATTTGATATCTCAAAGGTTGTAAGCTTTGGCTTAGGTCTACCCTGTCCCCAAGCGTGATGCGTAACACATTGTTGGGACAGTGTTTCCATACAAGAGCTGAGAAGATCCACAAAGCCATTTTTGATCTTTTCCAGCCATTATTACAGGCAAGCTTGAATTAGTTTCTCTGACATATATGATTTCTCTAATGAGATGACACGTGTTTTGGGCCCTTTAAATTCATTTTCTTACCTTGCCATGTTATTCATATCCTCTCTGTCCAGTCCCTCGAGTCTTTGCGAGATGGTGAGCATGAAAAGCAACGTAGACACTTTCTCTACTTTCTCCTTCATCAGGTCCCAGTTAGCAGTAACTTCAGCGTTTTAGCAAGAAGAATTGGCGACAAGGTATTTCTTGTTCTTTCTTATAACACACATCTGTTGCAATTTTTTTTCTTGGAATGAAACTTATATTTTTTATTTATTTTATCTTCACCAAGTTTTAAAATTTATTTTCAGATTGCTCTTCTTATTGTACTCAGAGGTTACAAGATGAACCCACCTTGCCCTCCCTTTGAGTGTGCACATATGTGGTTAGTGTAACTGGGGCCTATCTTTTCTCTTGTAGCTGTTTTTTGTATCTGATACTTACTTGAGGAATCGACTTGAATATATATCAAGTACTTTTCACATGAGCATGAAGGACATTAAGTATGACGATTCTTGTTTCATACATATACATATATATATATATATATATATTTATTGTAGTTGTGATTGTTATCTTCTCTCCACAATTTCCCGTTCGTTGATGGCATATTTACTTTGTATGTTGGATGAGGTCACTACATTTTCTCATAGACAATTCATGGGAGTCAACTGATTTGACAGGGGCCCATCTCTTGTGTCGTCGTTTAAAGATTCTTCACTTCATATTTCATTGCGACAGCCTGCTATTGATCTTGTCCAAGTTATCCTGGTATCGGATGCAACGGCTCTACTAGCTTCGCTGCTACGTAATAATATTGGTAAATATATGGGCAATGAGGTGAAATATGACGACGATGACAGTAATCTTCCATTTTCCCATGCTGTCGAAGATGTAAGTGATCGTCCGTGGAGTGACTTTACCCAACAGAGCAAAATTACTCTTGGGGAGTGCAAAGAGTGGATGTGCATTCCGATGCTCTGGATTACTACTCTTACAAATACAAATCTTCGAAACCTTCCAGTATCGCTATCCCAAGCAGTATTTTGGTCTCGATCACGTTTTTGTTTGGTAGAATCTGAAAAGAATGATGACATGACGGTTGATATCGAAACTTGGCTTTCATCTTCTGCTGTTGAAATCAAAGGCACGCTTGGATGGAAGTTAGCAACAGGATCTGATGATGGGGGGCCAGGAAAGGAGTCCAAGAACTCTGTGACAGTGTCAAAAATGTGTCTTACGTTGATACGAACACTAAAGAGGTACTTTTTCATTTCACTGTTGTGGTAGGAAAGCCGCTAACTCTCTATTGCGATTTGTAATAGTGAGGCTTTTGGGTTTTGATTTTGTAGATTGACTACTTGTTTTCTGGTCCAAATGGGTGAAGAGTGTCGAAAAGAATGGACCTGGGTACCAGGGATGAGCGAAACCTTCATCCTTTCTCTTTCAGACCCAGATGATGTACGTAATGACCTGAAATGATTGCTGGGTGCCATCTCAAGAGATGATTACTTTATATTCAAAAATTCTCTGCTTCAGCTGCGTGTTAAGTCGAGCATTGTTGTTTCTGTTGACAGAATCTAAGGCAGTTTGGAAAGTCTATGCTGGAGCACGTTTCAAATACCAGAGGCCTGTCTTGTGGCCTGAAGTTCCTCTGCTCTCAAAATTCACACCTCCAATTTGTTTTTTATGGAGCAAGACATGTTTTACAGCAGGTAGGCAGCGGCTAAATTTCACTCAACATCTAGGTGGATACACATACAATGTGTTCTGTACGGGATGCTATTCTTAATGTTAGTCTTTGTTAAGGCTACAAAACGTTCACCCTTTGCCATTATAGCAACTGAATTTCTAGGTTGCGCATTTCACAACCTATATTTGTGAGGTTCAGTTTTTGAGTACTTTTTTCTCGTGGGAGATAAATCTGTGACTTGCGACTGTTCTTATATTTCTTATTTATATTTTGGCAGGTCCATTTGAGCTCTGTTCTACAAAGCTTTCAGATCCTGCACCATTTTTTCTTTTTATTATTCAAGTTGCTGAAGGATGAGAATGTGGGCATTACTGGCGCTGTGGAGAGTTCCGAAGGAGGATTCTTGAGGCAACCTGACTTTAATGCTCCTCCTGTGATTGACGGCAGAAATTCGTTGAGTGCTAACCCAGAGTTGCTGAAGTTTCTTTACTTGCTGGCAGAAGTTGCCTGGGGCGCGATAAGGAAGTGCTTAGCTGAAGGAAAGGTTTTCATCCATCAAAGTCTTTGCCAGGTATTATTTATTGAACCTTTGTTATACCTCTGTTGCTTGTGCTTTATTCTACTTAGCCATTTAGAATTATTTAGTGAACCTTTGACATACCTCCATCAAAGTGTTTGAGCTGTATGTGATTCAAAAAGTTTGAGCATGGCTTTGTGCTTGGGTTCTAATCTCTCTTATTTGGCAGATGACATGTGTACGTTTGCTTGAGATTCTTCCTGTCGTTCTCGGAAAACTTAGACTAAGCCATGAAGAGTCTTGTGCTACTAGAGGAGCTTTGAAAGATGCATCTGATCTTAAATGGCTTCCTGATCTCATTGACTGGGGAAGGTCACAACTAAAAGTTGTCGTTGCATATTG